TAGACTTTGTACTCTTACGTGTTCTTCTTCGCAAGAGCTTGCTTGGCATCACTGCCTTTCTTGTCAAAGTCTTCGGATTATTCCATTCGTTCGCAGATTCCAATGTTTTCTCCGATATGAGCTGAGAAATGATCGAAGTCGTGTTCGTCATCTTCTTCATCCACGAGCGTGAATTCCATGACAAACAATGTCAATGACTTCGTCATGGTTCAGCGTTTGGTTGGGTCCAAAAGTGGGTAGACGAGGAAGTTCATCGGTGTTCATCCGACTGTGGTTGTTGACATAAGCCCGATTAGACATATCAGCAGGCTTACGCATCTTGCGGGCCATGAAGCTTTCTGTCTTTTCAAAACTGTAGGGACAGATCGCTTCGACACAGGCATTATGCCGAACGTAATGTCAGAGTCGTCCAAAGCAAGCTGAGCTGCTCCGTCCCAGGCATTCTGGAAACATGCTTGGAAAGTGGCTTCGTCTTTACCACCACGTATGTCGCGTGGGGGAATGCCGTTGACTGCAACCTGGCGCAAGGCATTCCAAGGTATTTCACGATGGCCTGCACAGTTAGTTTCGTAACTGCTCTTGGCGGATCTAGAAGTCATCTCCTTGAGGAGGTTATGTTTATCGGTAGTCGTAGCAATGGCGAGCCCAACGAAAACCTTCTCCTTGCGTCCAGCCCACTTGATGGTCGTACGTGGAGTCTCAGATCCATTGATGATTTGGTACTTGAAGTTACTTGGCGGCTGTTAGCATCTGCTGGAACAGTGGGAAGTTTGCAGTGGTGTGCGAGAATCGTCGATTTCGGTGTCTTCGTCAGTCGATGAGAGGAAGAATGGGTTTGTCACGCACTGCTCGAAGTGCTGTAAGCGATCTTTGGGCAATCTTCATGGTGAGGAATAGGTTGAGGGTAGTGAAAGCTATTGTGTTTGTTAACAAAATGCAACGCTAAAAGCTAGTGTAAAGATCTTTCGAGTGTTTGGTTTGAGAGAATGAAAGTTATGAGAGAGATTAGAAAGCTATGAAAACTAATCAACGAGAGAGATCACAATCAAAGATCGTAGATCTGCTCCGCGGGAGACTTAAGTGTGTGATAGAGTAGGTTGCGGTAGAATCCTACGTATCTCCACGATCCAAAACGGAACGCGTGGAAGATTCGTCTACATTATCTAGCGTGGAAGTACTCCACGCTGGCTAAATATCTAGAGCGATGTTTCATCATCAACCTAGTATGACTAGAGCGGTCATTGAGAACCCTGTCTCAAATGATATTCACGAAGATACGTCATGAGTCGAACTCAAACCCGATCTAGGATCGAGTCGCGAATAAGGCTAAGAGCCGTGTATTGCAGTCGTCCTCAGGGTGGCACCCAGAGTGGGGCACCTGAAAGACTCAAGAGGATCACTGGATTCTTGGTCAAGATGAACCAGGCAGGGATCAGGATCCGCACCAACGAGCCAGACTACTCCCAACTGGAATACCGAACCTACGACTGGACAAGGACGGTCTATGGGGAGGCACAGGAGGAACTCCCAGTAGATGCCCCACAGCCGAAGGGCAAGCCGGTAGTATTGACGACCTATGTGGATGCAAACCTATACCACGATTGGGTCAATGGCAAGGCAGTCACTGGTGTACTGCACTATGTGAACCAGACCCCATTCGAATGGTACTGCAAGAAGCAAGCACTGTGGAAGCAGCCACATACGGCTCTGAGTTCGTTGCTGCTAGGGTGCCACCCAACAGGCCATTGCAGCCAGAGTACACTCAGGTACCTTGGTGTGGAGGTAAAGGGGCCAACATACATGTTTGGCGACAATGGGTCTGTGGTGACAAGTTCCACCCAGCCCCATTCGCCCTCAAGAAAAGACATCACGCCCTCCCTACCACTTCGTCAGAGAAGCCATTGCTGCAGGGACCATCTCGTTTCATCATCTACCGGGAGCGATCAACCCCGCAGACATCCTGACGAAACACTGGGTTACTCCCAGATATGGCCCATCCTGAAGGCAGTTCTGTTCTGGCAGGAGACACAGCTGATCTCTGGACACCACCATGGACAAATCAATGGTGGGGAGCGATGGTGGAAATCCACGTGAACTCCCATTGTGGTGCGAAGCAGCTGTGCCGGTTTAGCCAGGTGGAAGAATGCTGTGACATTTGTATACTCCAACAGTAGGTCAGCAGTGCAGCCATCTGGCAATACAGAAATAGCTGAGGAACTCTATATACCCCAGGATGATGCAGTTCTTCAGCCAGACCAATATAGAAATTAGCTTGCCAGCACCAGCCAAATGAGATGCAAAGAGAGCCAAAGCTGCATGGCTGAGTGCTGGCGAGGATTATTTCAGTTGTTTATATATAGTTTAAAGAAGAAGAAGTAATGAAAGGATAGTGACAGATACAGCCTCAGTAGCACTAGTTTCCCCAAGTTAAGCCTTCCTGTGTGGATTGTGCCAAGCAAAGAGTAAGTTGTTCAATCATCGCTGTGGAGATTGAATAACAGTGGCAGCCAGCTTTGTGGCTGGCCCATTCCCACTGTCAGAGGAGTGAAGCTCCAAGCAGAGCTATCCATTCCCAGCCAGCTCTTTGTGCATCTACCCTGACTGGATCTCATCGAGTTTGAGCAATCAAAGTTCCGGATGCTCCTGTATCCAGCAAGCAACGGAGTGTAACGGGTTTTGGTTTCCCTTTTTCTCGCTTGTTAAATCTAACATGACATAGCTTTGAGGTCTCTTGTCTTGCGACGTTACGAGGTGGTTGGCCACGGACGAGGTTAACATGCTAAATAGATCATCAGGAGTCTAGTTGAGCAGCTTTCTAGGCAATCATCTAATTTGCCGTAGAGTTTCATCGGTTGCAAACAATTCTTGTTTACTAGTTAGTGAGATATCTTCTCACTTGGTATGAGAATCGGAACATGGTTCCGTGTAGTCATCATCCTGGCCTAATCCTCAGATGGAGATCTTCTCCATCCAAGTGATTGAAATCGATAGAGGAGTTGTCCTCGTTATCAGAGTCTTCTGATTTGCGCTTGGCAACATGGTTGCGAGTTTGCAATGGTTGCACGAGTATCGTGATCTCGTGTCTTCGTCATTGTCGACGAGGAAGAATGGGTTGTCACGCAACTGTTTTTCGAAGTTGCTGAACGCATGCTTTCCTTGAGCAATCTTCATGGTGAAGGAATAGGTTGAGGGTAGTGAAAGCTATTGTGTTTGTTAACAAAATGCACTACGCTAAAAGCTAGTGTAAAGATCTTTCGAGTGTTTTGTGTTTGAGAGAATGAAAGTTATGAGAGATTAGAAAGCTATGAAACTAATCAACGAGAGAGATCACATCAAAGATCGTAGATCTGGTCTCCCGCGCGGGAATATAAAGTGTGATAGAGTAGGTTGCGTAGTAATCCTACGTATCCCACGATCCTAAAACGGAAACGCGTGGAAGATTCGTCTACATGGATCTAGTAGCGTTGGAATCGTACTCCACGCTGGCTAAATATCTAGAGCGATGTTTCATCATCAACCTAGTATGACTAGAGCGGTCATTGAGAACCCTGTCTCCAATGACTATTCACGAGAGACTCAGTCATGAGTCGAACTCAAACCCTATCTAGGATCGAGTCGCGAATAAGGCTAAGAGCCGTGTATTGCATTCGCCCCCTGACAAGGGTCACAGAAGGCGCGACAGCAGTCGGACAAGGAGAACATATGAATTAAAGTGCGGGGCACTCTCCGGAGATTGGATGTAGACATGTGCGTCGCACGATGGCAATCCTACAAGGGGATCAGGCCTTGTATAGGTGTAAATACCTTATGTTCCAAGTCTGGTAGACTGTGTCGCCATTGGCGGTAGCATGTCGGAGCGGTATCGTTGACATTGTATTGATGAGGGACACGAGATCACCATCAAAGGATCGTAGATCTGGTCTCCCGCGGGAGACTATAAAGTGTGATAGAGTAGGTTGCGGTAGTAATCCTACGTATCTCCACGATCCTAAAACGGAACGTGTGGAAGATTTGTCTAGCATGGATCTAGTAGCGTGGAAGTACTCAACGCTGGCTAAATATCTAGAGCGATGTTTCATCATCAACCTAGTATGACTAGAGCGGTCATTGAGAACCCTGTCTCAAATGACTATTCACGAGAGACTCAGTCATGAGTCGAACTCAAACCCTATCTAGGATCGAGTCGCGAATAAGGCTAAGAGCCGTGTATTGCACTCGACCAGTTCTATGCATACTTTGAAAACGTAGACACATGTGCGATACCGGTTGAACGAGTGTAAGGCATTTCTGCTGCCTTTGCTTTCCCTGACTCGACTGACTGGCTACAGTCTTACTTCTCCTTTCATACCCTTTTATGATGTCATTCGAGTTCGGCTGACATCTGCCACTTTCTTCATCAAGGTTCTTCAGTGGAACACTTCGCTCGTGCCCTTCTCAAATGGTTTCCGAGAACTATACAATGTCCAAACTTTTTATTCTTGGACTCTGAATTCATGCGCTCTGATTCACAGTTGCGCTGGCTCGCCGACGAAAGCGGACAAATTGCTGCCAGTCTGCTGCTTCCTCACCGCAACGCTGTTCGGATGACTGCATAGGTGGAGCACATGTGTACATGTGTACCAGTGAGTGCTTGCCACTGTAAATATCGACTATTTGACTATAGAACAAAGTGTACTCAATCATGGTTGCCTTTTGGATAAGGTCATCAATTACAGGGTACTAGTACTAGTATTTCAATTTGTTCTCGCTTTTGCTGGGTCGATGGCCGAATCTGGGACTGGCTACGGCAAGACCGACTTTGGGATTCGAGAACCGTGGCTTTAGGGGGCACCTGCGGACGGACGGAGGAGACCTCGCTTCCGATGAGCTGCGGAGATTTCTCCGCAGCCGCTGTATCTACTGTACCGTACCCTTCCTCTTGTGCTCCGGAGGTGTACTCCAGCAGCCTAGTTGACCATGGCGTTCATGCGGCTACCTAACTATCCAGAAGAGGCAACAAGAGGATCGGTTGTTGCTATTCACAGAATACGCAGACTAATATTTAAGCTCCTATGAAATAATGGACACCACAGGGACCTCTATCATTTTATTCAACACCCCTTCTTCGTTCATCGTGCGCCAATCTTTTCTAGGCAACGCTCCGCTTGTCGCATCAGACCGGCGTGTCTATCGTTACCAACTTGATATGCAACCTCGAGCGCATCAAGGTAGATATCTCTTGCATTGGGGTCACTGACGATCAGATGCTCAATGCATCGTGCTGCGATTGCTGCCAGTCGAGGGTTGGACTCTGCTTTTCGAAGGTCTTGCTTCATGACATCACGTAGTTGCATCTTGACACTGTCGGGGACATTGCCAGAAACAACTTGTAGTACATTAGCGAGAACACCCATAGCCATTACTCGTTGGTCAAATGTCTCGTCTTGTGGCTTGGGAGAGGAAAGGATGAGCATGAGAAGCTTGGCGCCAACGTCGTTGGTGGTGTTGCTCATGAGCTCTGCGGAAACGGCTTTTGCAGTTGCGGAACCCATCTTTGCTGGATCTGTGAGAGACGTCAGTGTCTGCAGTGCAAGGTACTGTGCGTCATACCCAGGGAAGTTAAGCATACGAGCAACCATACCAAGCGAAGACCCAGCGCTTGGGCTGTAGTTGTCATCTTGTGGACCAAGCGGCAGTGTGGCTGGCTTGGCAGGTGGCTTCTCGGGTGTCTTTCCCTCAGCAGAATCCAAGATGGCCTTGGTATCGCTGTGGAAATTGATGGAGGTTCCAAATCGTCGTTGGACCTCTACAATGATTCCGTGCTTGTATTGACCTCTTCCTCGATACAGTCGAACTCGGAAGTCAACACCGTCAGCGGACACACATCGTGCTCGTCCCTTTGTGTCATCAAAGGAGGCCTCGATAGAGCGGTCTCGGAGTACATCACTGATGCGCCCTGAAACAGCAGAGGCATCTGTGCTGGGAACAAAGACTGCAGTGCGTTCCAGTGGGTGAAACTCAGGCAGTGTTGGAGCATCCGACAATAGCCATTGGAACTTCGCCGGTCGACCAGTGCTCATTACAGCTGTCTTAGATTGGGCTGTGCTAAAGGCACCGCCTGGGCCTCCCAATCCCATGCCTGGAGAGAGCATAGGGGCCATCGGAGGTGGCTCGAAGCTGATGTTGGTGGGGGCGAAACTAGGGTTGAAGCCCACACGACGGGTGTGCTCCTCTCCAATATCGTCGTCCATGTTAAGGCTAATTCCATGGCTAAACATATCCGCACTAGCATTGAAAGAAGGGGGGGGCTTGCTGCCCTTGTCATCCTTATTGTTGCTCATTGTACTAGGAGTGTGTTGGTGGTTGTTGGTCTGTGGTCCCTATTAGCTTGTAGTCGTTGTATTCAGTGTATCGGGTTGCTGTTGTTGTGAAAAATTTTAGCGCTTTTGTGGGTGTGTGATGTGCTGAAAATGAAAGAGGCAGAGGAAATGGGTCAAAAACCGGTGATTTCGACTGTGGTCAATTCAGTACCAGTAGTGTTCTACGTCAAGTCATGTTGAAACCCACATGGCTCCAAAATCAACGAAAAAGTAGTCACTCTCCCCAAAGACTAGGTGCAATAGCGGATTGGTAAGGATGATCAGCACCAAAGAGGGGAGAATAAAAGGGGGTGAAATACAAAAACAAATAGAACACAACACGCTGAGTACAAGACCTCTTTCACCTGCGCTGACTTCCCTGTCGCTGTTGCATGTGAGACTCAACAAAGATGGGCTTAAGTGTATTAAGACCGTGATACACAGTTCGAGTAATTTAGCTATCTTTTTGGAGAGTAAAATGGTTATGGTAAACATAGTACCAATACCGGGGACAATTCACTTAATGATACGAAGCTCTGCTTAAAGTACTTTCTTGAGGCCTCAACACTCGTGTGTTCGACACTACGAACCGGCGCTTGCATTCTCACTACTTCAAGGGAGACCTCCTCTCTGTGTCTGAAAAGCTGTCTAAAACCAGTGTAGAACCAGCATGCATTACTGGTGCGGTCGCACGGAACTTGTAGGAAGAAAAGCCAGAGCCTCTTGCTTGTTAAGGGGTTAGTAAAAGAGGCAGACAGTGTCGCACAGTCATACAAGCTGGTATGCTGATAGTCTGTCTTTCTGGACGTCGTCCGTCTTCAATGACTGGTTCTTGCGGGACTCATTGAGTTGGTAGCTGTTGTGGTGCTGGCTTCACTGTCGGCCTACCAGTACTTTGCTAGAAAGGTCTACTTGTACACTCATGGTCTACACCACATACATGAGCAAAGTACATGTATAGTTTTTGAACTCATGGCATGGGGATGAGTTCGTGGCTGCTCTTTCCAAGTTTCCAAATGTTTCTCTGTCCTCAGCCAAAAGCTGATCCTGACTATACTTGGTTGTTGAGTTCCTACGCAGAACAGTACCCTAGCTAGCTACAGGCAGCTCCATAATGTGCTGCCGTTCTCATGCACTGAAGTAAAATAATCCAAGCAAGATCCTATGTAATTATCTGCCTAAGCAAACTAATCTCAGCTGTACCTCAGCTCATCTTTTGTTTTCTGAGGACCAGCCAGCAAAACCAAATGGCAATATCCCACGGGATTGCCACCTCCATTTTCTCATGAAAACACAGGTGTCGTTCACATGTAGACTCAATGGACGAAGAAACCGATTTGTCGGGAGCCTAGCTGAAGATAAGAAGCAGTTGACAGAGCTAATGATCTCACCCGCGAACAACTTCCTGCCGTGATGGTGGTGGTTGCCCTCATCTGAAAGACCTTTGCCCAATGGTGCAAAAGGGTTCAGGTGACTCCAGGATGGCTTTTCCTCAGACTGGAGAACCAACCTGTAGAGTGCATTTCAAATAGGCCCATTTCAGCACTGTGAACTGCATGCCACCGGACATGTGTGAAAAAAAAACGGTCAAGCTGTATGCGTTCAGTGGTCGAGTGACGAGTGACTTTCAATGCAAGCAAGTACCTGGTAGTTGACTTAGTCCTGTCCAGTCCCAGATGCGACCAAGGATTAAGCCAGCAGAGATGTTCTATAATCTCTCAATCATTCCCAATCTTGCATTTCCTCCCGTATGGTCCGGTACCTGGTACCAGCAGCCGCTTGCCGTACCGCTACGTACCGTATCGGAAGCAAGACCAACTCTGTCGTTGATGGTGGTGCATGCTTTGAGCAACGGGCATGACCCGCTGATGTTGGAATGGGGCATCGCAACGGCAAAAGCAACAACTCCTGCTGGTTCCGGATCATTGATTGATTGGGTTGCAATGTTGCAATTGCCAAGCTTGAACGAACCTGCCAACTTGTCAGGAGTGGGAATCAACGGTCCTGTGGCTTTACAAGACCGTTTGCATCCGGAGGTGAAACTCACAGAGGTCAAGGTCGGCAGCCGGTGCACTGGTGGTACGACCTGTACGAGCTGTCGTGGGGTAATCGTTTGTCCGTAGGGGTAGTGGTACCTGGTAGCTATCCGTACCAAGAATAGTTCCTCTGAAGCTGTGGACCAATCCGATGTGAGCACCTGTGCGGAACTATACCGGTACGTCTTTGCACCGCTGCCGCTCTTCGGTTTTGCAGCAAACGAGCTGGATGGCTCCGAATACTCGAGACAGCCCACTCATGCAAAAGGTCCTCCTAGTATTCTATTTCTCCTCCTAGTCTTTTGCAGTCCTACACGAGTGCATCTTGTAGGGCCGGCTGGGGATGCAAAAGCCCAACGGGCGGGATACATGCTGGGAGTCCTTGGCATGGCATACCACTAATTGTTCCAATGGCTAGCTAGATCCTGGTTCCTTTCCGAGCGCAAACCAGCCACATTCCTGTTCCAGCCGCGTCCTATGTGCCTGGTCTACATGTATGTAACGGGATCATCAGAACAAGAGTTGTTCATGTTCCGGAGCATGGCGTTTCGCTTTGCGTGGTTTACAATACAAAAATAAATGTAGAAGTCTGAAGGGATCGTCAGCCATAACCAGTAGACTAAGCCATAAGACTCGAGTTAGCAGCCATAAGAGTCAGGAGTGACCGCCATCTGCATGCTCAAATCTTGAAGAGTGCAAACCTTGAGGGTGATCCGCTCAGTTTCAGCAAAAAAAAATCCAGGGTGATTGCTGCGGAAATGGCAGAGGGCAAAAGGCACTGTGCTATGTTAGAGGCTACCTACAGCGCCGGGGTCGTGGCCTGGAGCTTCAGACAGTGGCACAACCAGTTTATAACGAGCAATAATGCTCCTAATGAGGATTCATGACTCTCTTGGTCGGGCTACAATAATTCGTTTTCGCTCTCATCTATCTCGACGTCGCCTTCATCCTGGTTTGGTGCATCGGTAAAGTCCTCTGACTGAGGTAGCATTTGCAGGTCCCCGAGATGACCCATAGCGTTCTCGCTGCGCAGTATTCTTCGGCGCCTGAGCCAAAATCGAAAACATCTGTAGAGCATGTAGGCTATCCACACTCCCACAGCGATGTAAATTACCATCCACAAAGGATCCTGTTTCATTTCTTGCTTCACGCCATCGCTTGGTGGGGAGGTGGAACTGGTCTCTGGAATTGTGGTTGTTTCGTTATTCTCCATAGCTCTTTCAGCCGCAGATTCCAGAATTCTTATTTCATACACGGACAAGAAGGGGACTATTGTGGTTTTCGCCATAGTATCATGATCGTCATGGCTGAGGAGGTCGCTGAACGCCATGGTGTTTGTCCGTTACGTTGCAACTTTTGCTTCTTTGTGCATTGGCGTTTCGAAAGCCAACGAGGCTGTCAATTCTTATTCTGTCTTGGCGAAGAACCCGGGAACCTTGGAATCAACCCACCGGTACCGCCGGTACTACCGGTACGGTAGACTACCGTGCAGCTATGGGAGTGGGAGAAGCCGTAAAGAGATTAGCATAGCAGCTACCATAGCTTGAGCGCAGAAGCGACCAGGCCCATATTACAGTAAACATAAACTATATAGTAGCAATAAGTTAGTTCAACTCTACGCGGTGCCAAGTTCCCAATGTACAGGCATGTATGGCAAGAAAGGCGGTGTGGGTGCTGCCGAGATAGACATGATAGTTGCAAAACTCGCTGGTATCACCTTGTGCTTTTTGCTTCATATGGTAGCTGGAATACATCTGGCTTCTCTGAAAGGAAATGAAAGATGGCATCCGTGTCTTGGTTGATTCTCGCCAGGACAAAAGGCCAAAAAGTGAGCGGGATGTTTTTTCCACGAAAGATCCGGCGACCCGCCTTGTTGAGACGAATCCAATGAACAATTTCTTTTAGGATTGGCTGTGATACCTTTTCTTCCACATGGAGGTACTCCAAATCCATGTTGTTCTTCAAACCGTCCAGTAGTTTCGCGGCCCCGCATGGATCGATGTAGTTCTTGGTCATTATGAGCTCCTTCAACCCCCTCATCTTGGGCAGCTGGGTTGCAAAGGCAAGTGCTCCTTGGTTGGAGATGCTGTTTCTCTTTAGCGACAAGAGTGTGACTGTTGTGTTGTGAACAAGTGCACCAGCAATCATGGCTGCTCCTTCGTCACCAATCGAGTTGAAAGCCAAGTTCAACTCTTGTATGGATCCATTCGTCATCAGCATCCCGGCAACGGCCTTGGCCCCGGTTGAGTCAATATTGTTCTCACTGATATCAAGTCTTTCCAGAACACAGCCGTCATCTTGCAAACCTGACACCAAAGCTTCGGTCCCAACATTGCCAAGGTCATTGTTGGCCAGGTACAGAGCCTTCAAGCTCTTAGTATGCTTGACAAGTTCTTGCAGAGCCAGGGCACCCTCAACGCCAATATCGTTGGACCGCAGATCAAGCTTGCAAACGCTTTGATTATCCTTCAAACCCTGGCAAAGTGCCAATACTCCTGCATCTCCAATCTGGTTCTCACAAATGTAGATCTCCTGTAAGTCCTGACTGGATGCAATACGGTTCAAGCATTGTGTCTCGTGGCGATCTAGATCATTATTCACCAGGTAGAGCCTCTTACTCGACTGGATCTGACCAAGACCATCACATAGCGATTGCAGGCTGGTGCTTCCTGTCATCTGTGTGTCGACAATCCTCAATTCTCGAAGAACTGTGTTGTTTGCCATGAATTCCTTGAGGAACTTGGCACTCTGAGAACAGAGAACACAATGCCTCAAACTTAGCTCTTCAATGGTTCTGTTCTTTTGCAACGCCATGAAGAAAGTGGTTGCTTCGCGAGAGTTGCGAAGGTCCCTCAATTGAAGTTTTTTGATGCTGACATGCTTGCTCAGCACTGCGCCTAGGTAAAAAGCCCCATCGTCTACCATGTTGTAGCAGGACATCATCAGAACGTTGACGACATCGTTTTCTTCCAGGGCCTTTGCCAAGGCTCGGGCGCAGTTATCATCAATCCTCTGGTGTGTCATCTCCACCGTCTTCAGAGTCTCATCGTTGTCAGAAAGACGTTGACACAATAATTCCAACCAGTCTGGCACCGATGGCCGCATTAAGGTAGTGCTTGAAAGCCACAGACTCATGTTGATCTGCTGGATGGGTTCTCAGCGACCACAGCACAACAATGAGGAAGCAACCAAACCTTTCTTAGTTTCATCTGTTCTATGAGAATGTCATACCGGTATGAGAATGTCATCCGATGGAAGAAATCTGTACAGCACGGTACCACACTGGTATCTTGGCACGGCATGACATATTCTCTTCCAGAACAAAAGCAAAATAGCTATCTCGCGGACACGTACTTGAATGCTCATCTTTCTCAACTGGAGCAGGGACTTGACAAGAAGATGTTTGCGGTTTAGACAACAACGGAGGTTCACTTGCCAGTCCTCCGCGCTGGCTCTTAGAAATTTACGGTTACGAGTTACGAGTACAGTACCTGTACGGTGGTAGGCGGCTCGATGCCGGGGAAAGTGAGAAATCGGTCAAGTGAGCGACATCCAACTCGAATCGAATCGAATCCACTCCCGCGCTCTAGAAATCGAACACGAGCCGTTCAGAGTGTGGTTGTTTATCTACGAATACGTTATGCAGATGTGTGATCTACGAATGCATCACTGCCGCATCAAACAAAGAATATAGACTAATAGTACTATAGCCAGATCGTTAGGCATTGGCGGCACCGAAATCCGCAAGTCGGGCTTGGGGGATGGGGCGTTGCGGCGGTCAATGTCGTGTAGCGTCACGCCGCTTCGGTCGGGCTGATTGCTGAGGCGGGAACACCCCAGCTGGGCGTCTAGCTACGGCAGCTGTGATGCATGGTTGAAGTAGATTTTGTCTATGCGAGGGCCTATGATTGTTCCTTTGTTTCTGGAGCAAAAGCGTCTCGGAAGGGGCCCAAAAACATTCTCTCCTCGGACCAATCGGTAATGGCAAAGACAATGTTGGTGAAGACTCCTGCAAATTCATTCTCCAAAGACTCGCGAAAATCACGGGCGGTGCGCACAGGATCACAACCGAACGCGCCACAACCCCACGCACCAAGCACCAAAGATGTGTACCCATAGGCCGCGGCAATCTCTAGAACTCGGCGAATGCGTTGTTTGAGCAACTTTTCTGCTTCCTTGGCATTCTTAGCTTTGTGGGCCTGAGGTGCTGCACAAGTCACTATGCTCAATAACCAGGGTTCGCTGAGCTCTTTACCGGCGTCGGTGCGAAATACGGGGACGTTGGGAGAGAGAATCGCCCAAGAAGATGATACTTTGGGGCCTGGCTGTCTTTGGTGGTGCTTGTACATGTCGTCTCCTTTCAGGGTGACATAGAGGGCACTGGATCGACACAAGCATTCTTCCTGCGCTCGAGAGCCACCGAGAAAACCTCCCCCCACTGAGTAACCGTTGGCAAAGTTGAGGGCCAGAGGCTTTTCGCCCTTTTGTACCATTTGCAGTGCCGCTTGCATTGTCGTTTGGTTGGTCACCTGGACCAGCGTCTTTGTACTTTGGTCGGGAAAATAGTCTGGAAGCGGATCATTTGGCTTGATGCTGACTTTCTCTTTTCTAGCATTGTCAACGAAGTCTTTCCACATCACCTCAGACCCGTCGGGTAAGACGTAGAAACCCGCGTTGACGGCTTTAACCGCGGTAACTCCAAGCTGTCTGGCGTCCCGGCGGGGAATCAAGAGCTCTTTCTTGCGGGCATCGGCCAATTCCTCAGAGTCGAGACAAGGCAGCCCAATCAGTCGGCTGTTGAAAAGGGCTTTCGGCATCGTGGTGGTTCGCTTTGGTGGTCGCCTGGTTTGTAAAATGATGCCTTGGAAGCAAATGAGAGATACCGGTAGAGACAAAGAAGAGACGAGTGTATGTCCGCTTTTGCAGAGGAAACAAGTTTGAGCTTGGCCTCCGCATCCCTCATCCATAAAAAGAAGACCCACGACTGCACCACTGCACGATCGTCGTCGATGGCTGTGATGCGACACGTAGCACAAGCATAGCTCGCTCCTGGGCGCTCAAGCCACTTTCAGTGCCCCAGCTCGTATCTTCGGCCATAGTGTAGACATGATAGACATAGCCTTCCTGTAGGGCGGGCGGTGTCCCAGAATGCCGTTGCTTGCAAAGCTTGCCTCCTAGACTCATACTCATTCCGGCTATAATCTGGCGTTGCTTTGCCGCCAGCTATAGGCGGCCTAACAAGTAGCTATTAATATAATACTACGATGTACGACTCGACTCTACTGGTAACGCCTCAAAGACAAAGAACAATAAGGACCCCTATAGGTACTAGTACCGTATACTATCCCTGTTTGCGGGCATGTGAACTTTCATACCGTGGGGTTGGGCTTTAGAGAAAGGCTCAAAGGTTGCAACACTCGTACGCATATAGCTACAGGTGGCTAGAAAACATAGTAGAATACACCAGTTCCGTGTACATTACTGTGGTGCTCCTGGCCAAACCACATACAATGATAGTCTAGCTACTCTACAACATGTCTAGCTAGCTAGAGAGATGTGGTAGTTTCATTTTTTGTGGAGCCTGGCCAGCTGGAGCAAGGGATAGCAATAATATTATGATGTCAGGGTTGCTGGGCATTCTGTCTGTTTGTGTTTTGGCGATAAAGGGATCCTTTGACTTATGGAAATGTCTACAGACCGTTGAAAAGATTTAAGACATTAGGAGACATTAGGAGACAAAGTGATACATTGGTAGACATTAGTATACAAAGTGATACATTGGTAGACAAAACAAGACATTGTGAGACATTGGTAGACAAAGTGAGACATTGTGAGACATTTTTGTACTGTTTTACAGTACCTTGTAGACATTAGTAGACAAAGTGATACATTGGTAGACATTAGTAGACAAAGTGATACATTGGTAGACAAAGTGAGACATTGTGAGACATTGGTATACAAAGTGAGACATTGTGAGACATAAGCCACTTTTTCTAAGGAGCATAGAACATTTAAGCAACTCTATAATCAGACACAATAGCTTAAATAGACAAAATGCCGAGTAGTAACCCAGATTAACTTCTAGCTAGAGTTACCGGTAGACTAGCTAGCTCGTGCAATGCTGGAGCCGCTGGATAAGAGACTGAGAAACAACAATAATAATGCTACCGGTACATTAGGTCAATATCCACCACAACCACAACGACGGACCTGCCCAGCACGGCTCTCCCCTCTCCTTTTCGTACGGTATCTACCAGTAATTGTGGATCCTCCGTTGCAACCAGAATTAGACAACCATGAGATCCATCGTGAATTTGTTGATTGCATTCGCGCCCTTGCTTTGGTGAGAATGTGCTCATCTGACTGATGAAGGCCCTCGTGTTCAATTCGTGCCACTAACTCTGCTTTGCATGTGTCTCACGTCTAAATGATGGGCCAGTAGTATCCAAGCGGTGGGAGCAAGTGTGCCTACGACAACATTGGAAGGCGTATTGAAAATGCCCGACATGTCGCCGTTCAATCTGACTGCCCGCATCACTTTGAACCACGACGAATACACAACATTTTCCAGAAGTGACGGCAGCTTTGTCATCTACAACGTGGGACCTGGGATCCACCAGATAGACATCTACAACTCTCTGTTTCACTTTAGTCAAGTCAAAGTACAACTACTGGAAGATTCCATGGCCGCACCGAAATGTCTCGAATATGCGTATCCAGGAGCGACCAAAAATCAGATTCCATATCCCATGGTTCTGACTGCCCATGCTGCCTTTGAGTTCTTTGAACAGAGAAAAGGATTTTCCATCTTCGTCATTTTCAAGAATCCAATGTTCCTCATGATGGCATTTAGTGTAGGAATGATGTTCCTAATGCCAAAGATGATGGAAGGACTAGACCCAGAAGAAAAGGAGAGAATGAAGCAGCAGATGGAGATGCAAAAAGACCCAACCAAAATGCTGTCATCACTATTTTCCATGGGAGAGGAGCCACCACAGCCAGGAAAGGCAAAGAAAAAGAAAAACTAAAAACAATCTGCACAATCAATATTGGCTATTTGGTTATTTCTTTATTATTTAGTTCCATGCATCCGCAGACGAATCCTTGTCTCGTCGTCACATTTTAAGTCGGAATGATTGAATCATCTTTCGTTCTGCCACCTATACCAGCAGCTCAAATGATTGATCCGATCCTACTAGTAGCTATCATTTGGAATAATTAGCTGAGTGATGAATTCGATTCTTATTTAGTGTACCTGGCGCAGTACAGCTCGTACTGTTCCTTGGGAAGCTTTTGGATTGCTTGCTGGCTGTCCGGAGAGAGCATTTTGGCGCAGCGCATCCAACCCTCCCACTGTCGGCGATCTGTGTAGATCTTTCCTTCCACCAACCTTGGCAGAAGAGTGCTGGTGATGAAAGAGTGCAGACTCTCGTGTTTGGAACAAACCAAGATTATGGTCCTCATGTAAGCAAGTGGCAAACCTTTGTCACCTTCCAAAAAGACGCCACTCATGTGATCAAGAGCAGACATCACCACTCGGTCGCTGTAAATTTCATCATTGTCCAGGCAGTGCTTGATGGCGTCGAGGTATCGTTTCTGCGGGAGACCCGCCGCGGCAAAATCAAGGTTGTGCAGGAACACCAACTGCTCACAGAGTGTCATCCCCTTGAGTGATGGATTCTCTTCATCGGGCTCGTCGCGATACAGCAGCGCTTGTCGAGCCACACGATCTCCCATTCTCTCCAAAGCGGCCAAAAAGATCTTGTCTTCGGCGGCCACAAAGTCGGGAAGCTTCTCCACTAGTTCCTGGCGTTTCATTGCTGCAACCACCGGAATCAAGAAACGTGGGTCCTTCTTGCCATCCTCGCCCGCTTTGCCAGCCTGGATTTCATGACAAGCATCAATGAACTCCTGATTCATTGTCTTTTGATCCGTGAGATTGTCCAGAAAGGCCAACAACAAAGCCAACTCCGCTGGGCCGGTCATGGCGGCGACCTTGTTTGCTATCGCCGCCGCGCCATGTTTGGCTGCTGCAGCCTTTGCCATTTTGGCCATGTTTGCACGAACTGTCTTTTGAAGTGCATCAGCTTTGGGAGTACAGCTTACTTCAAACATCGTTTTGATCAGGTCTGGCTTTCGGACACAAAGCGCCATGAGAATCGTCACGGGCTTCTTTGCAACATCCATGAATTCGCGTTCAGGGTCACTTAAAGGGTTGTCTCCAAGGATGCCTTTCTCCTTGTTCTTTTCTGCATTTGCGTTGTTCGCAGTCGCAATCTCGTCGTGTTTGCTAGCTGCGATTTTGGCAGACTCTTTCAGCTCGTTGATAGAAGCATCCGTTACCAGAGTCCCAAGAATTTCGCTCTTTGGATACAGCACGTTCATGACGAGCTTGAGTGCTTTGTCTTCGATAGCTTGGCTCGATGGGAGTCTCCCGGCAGCAATCATAACAGCAGCCTCCACTGCACCTCGCCTGGCATCGACGCTGTTTCTAGAAAACGCGATATCTCGAAGCGTAAGCAGCACAGTTGTGGCTCTCTTCTCGGCAGCAGCCTTTGCAGAATGCAATGCAGCAGAAGCTGCTACGGTTTGATTCGCGTTCTTTCTTGCTGCGTCGGATGCCTTCTTGGTGACTTCAATAATGTCGCACAGGCCGCCTACCATTCGCAATGACGACGGCGAAATCTCTGGAAAGTTTTGACACATAGCCTGCAACTGTGTTGAGGCAAGAGCTGCGGATTGCTTCCGATCGGCGTCACTTGGCTTGTCATCAGCAAGCTTTCCAGCGCGAACGACACTGGCAACAAATGCATTCATGCAAGTCTGGTAGTTTTTGTTTTGTGCGCCCTCTTGGTCCGCGATGCTAGCCTGCACGTAAGCCTCTGAAAGAAGATGGCTCGAAAGTGTCCTGTTGACATCCTGTTTCGTATCAGCTTTGTTGTTTGCAAAATCCAAGGCAAGACACGAGCTGACCAGGGGATAGTCTCTCCCAATGAACACGCCAAGTTCTTCCTTTTCTTTGGCAGTCACCTGTTTGTCGGTGAGACTTGCCACGCTCTCTTCTACGAGTGCTTGGGACAAAGCCGTGGCGCCTGGAGGTTTCGTTCCTCGTAGAGTCCATGCTAACCTCGCAGCAATTTCATTCCCAAGTTGAGCGTGATACGCCGAGCGGGAATTCAGTGCCTGAGTCGCAATTCTACCCAACGCGTCGACCGAAGAAGCAGCTGCGTCCTTGAAGAAGGTTTCCCTGGGCTTTTGGTTTCCTGATGATCCCGAAACCAACTCTGTAAATTTCGTCGACAACTCAAACTTGTGGTCGTTGTCTCCCTTCAATTCCCATGCCGCACCACCATCACGATCGTACCAACGACCCTCTTCTTGGGCCAATGATGCACCATTCGTTAGGATTGCATCCACCAGAAAGTCCAGGTTGACGGGGACATTCCTATTCTTGGACCCAGTCGACGTGGGCTTTTTGGATGGCAGGTTGTGTAGGTTGGCAAATACGAGGTCAATCGCCTCTGCCATGTTTTTGGGAAGCTGAATGCCGTGCCCCAATCCTCGAGCCTTTTTGGCTTCCTTTAGTTTCGCCAAAGCATCGTCTGTTTCCGTCTTTCGTTTGTCACCTTCCTCCCACGTGTACATCATATTGGCACGGTTCCGCGCAGCACGACCAGCTGTCCGCAAAGAATTGGCTTGTTTCGCCATGGAAAGAGCCTTATCTGCTTGCATCTCCATATCACATGCTTTCGACGCTTCATGCAATATATCTGATGCCTTGGCACTAACACTCAAAGCATTTCGCAAAAGTGTAAGACACGCAGCTTTCAGGTGGGCTGAAATTGCGAGAACACCCGACTTTGAAAGCGTTCCGCCTTCGATGAACACAGGAGGTTGCACTGCTCTTCGGGCCAAACAAAGAGCTGATTCCTTGAAGAACATGGGACGATTCAATGCTAGAGCGCTCATTGCATTGAGCGTCAGGGAGTATGGTTTCTGTGACAACATAAAGTCAAATTCAATGTTGTTGCGGTCTACGTTGATTTGCACTGCCGACTCTTCTTCACTTCCAGGCAGGGACGATTCTATTTCAAGATAAGCCAAGGCAGCCGGTTTGAGGATACTGACAACCTGAGCAGAAGGAGAACCACCGCCACCACTCATCAGCATATCTGAAAGCAGATTTTCGTCAATTCGTGCTTGTCCCCCCAGGAGTGTTAGACCACGAAAAATCGCAAACGAGTATTCTGCAATGGATTCCAGGGATTCCCTCGTGATGACAGGGTGACCAGCTGGAAGGTCTTCCAAGGAAAACTCCTCCGAGTTCTAAAAGATGGTTGTGAGAGCGACATGAATGAATAAGAAACGATTAAGGTCCAAGTCCACCAACACACTTTTTCACTTTGACCAATCTGATGCTTACAGCTTGACTTCGGCGTCTTTGGGATGGATCGTGGGGCTTTCGCGAGCAGACTAGCGTTAGAATTTCCATAAACTTGAGGGCTGCACCCCTGATTCCATCACCAGAGCCGGCAGTTTCTTCTGCGCTGCTAAGAAACAATTTTTTCAATACCCCTTCTACCATTTTCATCATGGGAGAAAACAGCTTACTGGCTCCTCTATCATCAGCGTCTTTGATGCGCTGAGCAATGTGTTTCAAACAAGGACGAAGGGATGAGGAAGCTGCAATGATTCCTCGGGATGCAACGGCCATTTCGGAAGCCTCGGACGTAAAAACGCCTTCGACAAGGCTGGATATGGAAGCTCTATTTTAATAAAGGATGGAACAGAAAATGTGTGAGAAAATAAAACCACCGATATGAGAGTGCTTTAGGTATTCGCGATTGCTTACTGGACCCAGTAACGTAGAATTTCGCCTTCCCTGGCAAGTTTCTTTCCGAATCGCCGTTTTTGCTGCGCTCGAATGGCAGGATTGTTCACATTAGGATGATGTGAGGAATGGGATCCCGATGCCCCAGCCCCATAAGGACCCATCTGTGGTCCAGTTGTCGTACTGTCCATCCAACTACCTGACTTTTGGCACTCTTTGAACAAATGCCGAAAGAACTCCAAGCAAGCCACTCGCTTGGCGGGTATAGGGTCGGTTTGAGTCTCTTCCAAAACGACTGGAAGAATCAAATCAGATACCAATCTCTCGTAGACTTCTTCGCAGCTGAGCTCAATCCCTTCTTGTCCAATTCCTTGGTAGTAAGTACGGGCAACAGATGGGCCTGTGTGTGCGGCAACCTCCAACACGCTTTGCAACATTTCGCGGAGTTCTTCATGGACAGTTGGAGATCCAGGAGCTGAAGAGGAACGTACACCCAGATGCAGCTTGAAGTCGTTCAATGCTGACATGACACGACCTTCCAAATCATCAATGGCCAGTTGCAATGGATCTTCATTCTCTCCTTCCTCGACCTCGGATTGCATCTCGGGGGCGGCATTGTCGTCATCCGAGAGCTGCTCATCTTGAAAAGCACCATAGGTGTCTTCCAAGGATTCTTGGTGCATTGACATGATGCGGAGCAGATGTGAGTAGACAGCACAACAAAGACAGAATCATTCAATCCTCCAGCGTCGGGAGGAGCGAGCTACCAGGTAGCTTAGTTAGTGATGGGAGCAGAGATGCTTGGGTGCTGACGATGAGACCGGCAAAAGGGTTGCCTTTGGCTGCATCGGCACGAAACGTGCAGGAGAGTGAGCGGTACTCAGAGCAAATGATTTGCTTTTTAAAAATATTCTTGGCAAACTCTCCATTTGGTTAAAATCTGAAAATAATCCTCTGAAGTTCAGTCTGCTTAGCGCTATTCAAAGATTTTGCATCATTTTTCTCATTTTTCTCATTTTATGTCATCAAACGACACTACAGCTCATTTTATAGCCTACTTTCAAAAATCGCTTCACGGCAGTTCCCATGAGATTGGATGGTTCCAATAAGCGCGAAGCTTTGGATCAGCAAATACATGTACATGTATGTAAACTTTAGGGGGTTTTAGAGTAGGGAGGTTATCTACAGCCGGCGACTTATGCAACGAAGAGGTGGAATTCCGGACTACTATGTACCTGGTACCTGGTAGTCGGTTCCTTAGGACAGGGCCTGCATCTACTATAAGAGTTGGCATCGAGTATCGGTACTTGAATCATGATCTGAAACCTGACTACGGCGTTGCAACGTTGCAACCAACACAAAAGCAGGGAAGCCATCTACAGAAGCCAGGCAAAGAGGATGTGGAATTCCAGACTGGGTTCCGTAGGATCAGGGTTTGTCTCTAATCAAACAGTGCGCATTCTTCTACAATGATATGGACCCGACTACGGTGTTGCAACCAACACTTTGCCTGCACTACCCGCTCAATAAATGGCATTTCTTTCCGAATCTTCATTTAGCACAATTTTGACGACGACTTTTCAAGTGCCAACGACTAAACTAGGTCACAACCATTCGAGAGCAAGCAATGACAAGTAATTCATATCTAACTTATTCAGTACTACTGTGGTACCTATTTGTTGCCGCACAAACCCAATTCCAACTCCTTTTTTACATCAATCAAAATTGGCCTTCGATGTTTAACAGTGGGGTGGCGCATTGTTGATTGTAGTAGAATTACTTTAGAGACCATCTCGAGTGGTGAGCTCAGCGTTCAACATACGAGGGTGGGCAACAAGAGCGGCATCAATGTTTCCATAGCGATTGGTGTACTTTTGGTACCATTCGACAGTCTCTGAGAGACCAGCTTCCCAAGACATTTCTTCCTTCCATCCAAGCTCTTGCAGTTTCTTGGAGTTGATGGTGTATCGCAAATCATTGAATTGGCGGTCGTGGACATGTGTGATCCACTTGGATTCTTCTTCGCCATCTTTCTTCAAGATCTTGAGGAGAGTCTTGGCGACTTCAATGTTGGCAATTTCATTGTCACCTCCAATGTTGTAGACATGGCCAGGAGTTCCCTTGTGGAGGATGCAGTCAAAGGCGCGGGCGACATCCTTGACATACAAAAAGTTGCGGGTGTTGGAACCATCGCCGTGGATTGTCACAGGCATATCGCGAGTAAGCTGATTGATGAATTTAGGGATGAGCTTTTCGGGGAATTGGTGAGGACCGTAGACGTTGTTTCCACGGGTGATCAAACAGGGAAGCTTGAAACTTCTGAAGTAGGACTTGACAAGAAATTCAGCTCCTGCCTTGGTTGCAGCGTAGGGGTTGGTGGGTTCCAAGACGTGCTCCTCGGACATGGGGTCGGTTTCAAAGTCCTCTCCTTCTCCATAGACCTCATCGGTAGAGACGTGGACAAATCGCTTGATGGTATCGCAAACCTTGGCACACTCCAGAAGGACGTGAGTTCCATAGATGTTGGATTGGGTGAAGGCAATGGAGTTACCGAAAGAGTTATCCACATGGGTCTGGGCGGCAAAGTGAAGGATGGTGTCGATCTTCTCTTCCTTCAAGACATAGCTGACAAGGTCGACGGAGCAGATATCACCCTTGATGAATTTGAAATTGGGCAACTCCTTGATCCCATCCAAGTTGGCAAGGCATGCGCAATAGTCAAGACGATCGTAGACAACGACGTTGTATTCGGGGTACTTCTCGCAGAGCAAGATGGCGACGTGGGAAGCAATGAAACCTAATAGCCGCGAAACATCAATGTTGGTTAGATACCCCACCGAATCCATGACATCGCATCATTTGATAAATCAACGCCAAAACTCACCAGCTCCTCCAGTCAAGAGGATATTCTTGGGCACGTAATTCTCTTCCGACATGTTGCTTGTTGTTGTTGTTGTTATCCTTTACCAAGCTGTCTGATTGGAGTTTATGTCCCTCTATTGATTTGGTGTTCGCTGTCTACGATTTAAATTTGTCCCTGGATCCTTTCGTGTGCCAGCCAATGACCATCAACGGTCATCGGGCTAAGTGAGTGTCGCCTTCATCAGAAATCGAATGAATTCAAATGAAATTGCTAACAAAGCAAGGCGCAAGGCCGCACGACCGACGGGATACGTGATACTGTGCGTTCAGGTCCAACTGTAACGTATCAACGGATCTCTCAGGCTGATGATGAGGAACAGATGGAACAAGCGGGAGACTGGAGACGATTCTGCTGCAACTGGTATGGTACCGGTACCAATACCGGTCCAGTGCCGCTATGGCTGGCGGAAGTGAGGGTGGAATGCTATCCAGTGGCAGCCTTGACTAGCTAGCTGCCGGTAGTACCTAGCTTAGTTACTACTACTAGCTTAGTTACTAGAGCTACCGGTAGCATGGGTGGTTGCACTGGACGTCAGGTTGGTCTGAGAGGTGGGTGTCCCTGGTTGCAGTGCATTCCACAATTGCAGCTACATGTATCTTATACCGTCCAGTGCCATGCTGTAATCCCGAATGCGCTCTTCAGCTCTGACTAGCCAAAGATTCTTGCCTTCCTCGCTCAAGCAATGGTACTGAGCCTGGTTTCGGTTCTTGGTGGACATGGTGCTCCATTATTAGTGTTGTGCCTTGTCGGTATTAGTAATGCACACACTCTGGAACTCGTACCCGGTGCCTGCCTGTACGGGTACGGAATCAATGAGCAACACTTTCACGGGCTCCAGGGCGTCACTCAAATAGATACTTAGTCTCAAAGCCTCAAAATCCTACTCTACGATGAGCTCTATGTAGTTCTATTGATACTACCCATAATTCCTGGTTCAAGTTGGTTCTATCCTTAGAGTCTATCATTGGAGCCGTTGCTACAATTGATTATTTTCACCAACCTTTCATGTTGCATGCCTCAACATGTGATGTGAACTTCATTTCTGGTTCTTGGCATGTTTACTGGTAGCTGCCCATGGAGATGACATCGTCAATCTTCAAGATCATTTTGACCACCTGTGCCGCCAACTGGAGCTGTTGTTGTTTACCACAAAGGGTTTCAAAGACACCGTGCTCCTTCATGTCAGCAGAATGGAATCCTTCTTCGTTGGCTTCTATGTCCAGGCCAAGCCCAATCAAGTGACTATTTTCCTTCACTTGACGTGCCTTGGCGGCTGCCACTTCTTCAATGGGAGACAGGCCCGAGTTCTCTGCCAATGCCAAGGGAATGTCCTCCAATGCTTCCTGTTTTCCACCAACCGCCGCAAAAACAAACGAGACCTTTCGTCAGACAGGGTTCCAGCACTAAAGTCAATTGAATTCAAATACGTCTGGCAGCCAAGAAACACTTACAGCAAAGGCTTTGATAGCATATTGATCCACACCTGTCACCGTATCGGCATACTCACTGACCGCCAAGGAACAGGCAAGTTCGGCAGCGCCTCCTCCATACACTACACGATTGTCGCGAATGAGATTGCGGACCACACACATGGCATCGTGCAAGGATCGTTTGGCTTCCTCCACGAGCATCTTGCTGCCTCCACGAACCAGGACAGTGACAGCACTGGAGCTGGCACAGTCTTCAATGACAAGCATTCGCTCACTGGTGTTTCCAAAGCTAATCTCTCTCACACGACCAGCAGTTCCCAGCTTGGATGCGGAAATGTCCTCAAAACGAGGGACAATCCTGCCTCCGGTGGCCATTGCAATGTGTTCCATTTCCACACCGCCTACCCAGCGAACGGCAGGTAGTTGATTTTGTAGCAGTAAATGATTGGCTTCATCATCGAATCCCCACTGACAAATCACCAAGTTGGCTCCGGAATCCTTGACTTTTTGGACCATATCTCGAAAGTATTGTTGTTCATTCTGGTACAACTTTTCGTAGGCTTCTTTGGAAGAGATTTCCAACTTGTGTTTGGTTTTTGGCTTTGGAGGCTCAAAGGGACATGTAAGAATGCACATTTTGGCATTCTCAATTACCTTGGCCATTTGTGGGTGAGAAATTTCCTTATCAATCACCAACCCGTTGACAATGGTTGTTTCCTCCAGAGACCCTCCAGTTTTACCTTCCATTCGAATCCGTTCAAAGTTGACATCGTTGCGTTCCAGATCGGCTACATTGAGTACGGCCTTGACAGCAATATCGGCCATCATTCGTTTGTTTTGTTGCACAATTTTGGAGCTGAGGGTTGTCATGGCGGTTGTCACTAGCGCTTCATGATCGTTGGAATTGATATCCATTTTTTCGGAAATTTCCTCCAATCGTTTCATGGCCACTCCAGCGGCTCTTTCAAATCCTTCGGCAATACGAATGGGATGAATGCCCTTTCTAAGGAGATGATCGGCTTGTTCCAGTAAAGCACCAGCTAGGACCACTACTCCTGTGGTACCGTCACCAATTTCATCATCTTGTGACGCACTTAATTCCACCATTAGCTTGGCCACTTGACTATCCACTTGGATCTCTTGTAGAATGGTAGCCCCGTCATTGGTAATAGTCACGTCGCCGTCGGGAGATACCAGCAGTTTGTCGAGTCCTTTGGGGCCCAAAGATGTCCGCAGCACAGAAGAAATGGAACGAGCTGCCAAAATATTCGACTGTCAGTTTAATAAAGAGAAGAGAAGTAAGAAATGTGAGTAATAAGCACAATATCGAATCGTCCCTCCCTCCGCAGCTTGACTCGACTCACCTTTGTGGCTTCAATCCCTTTCACGCGATTTTTGGATTGTTGCTCCTTCAAAATAATGAAGGGCCTGCCGTATTCATCTGGGAAGGGAGAGAGGACATTGTAAGAAAACAACAACAGGAGCAAGAAAGGGACTGCGTCCACAAAGACTTACCATAAACCATAGACATGGTGACAACACCTCTCCAATACAAAATAGACCAGCCGTTGTTTGTGTTCGAAGGCAAACAATGACAAGAAGCGAGAAGAAAGGAACTGAATGCGAAAGATTTGAGCTCATTACCTAATCAAACCGCCTGTCAACAGCTGCGTCAACACGGTTAAACAGAACGTGGAAATCCACCGGGTGGTGGTCCTTCCTGCGTTTCTTGGCTTCGTCGTTGAAAAGTGCAGACAATGCAATGGAGACGGTGATGGGCCCAAAGAAATGATGTACTTCGACGGGACAAGCTACATTGATTTGGGCTCGAAACTCGTTCCGAAGAAGCAAGATTGTCCTCATTCAACCAGCTGCAAGGACAGCAACCCCCATTCAACAGCTGTGAGGACAGCAGCAGAGAACGTTTGGCATCTTTTGTAGCTGATGAGTACTACCGGTAGCTGGTTGGTCTGCTTGGTTCAAGAAGGGTAATCGAACGGTACGAGCTCGTACGAAACCATGAAGCAGGGCAGCTTTGCCTCGTTGTTGGATAGGCAAGCGACAGCCGACTGGCAGGGTAGATCCATGCTAAAAAACATTTTTTTTAAAGCTGTCTAGCTAGAGCTAGAGTTGTTCCTACCAGCCGTGTGGGGGTAGTTTCGTTGCCTTGACCGCGAGTATGAATGATCAATCTTCCTGCTTCCTCTTTCAGGAGACAGCGCAAGACGCCGATGTCCCAATTCATTAATCTACTCATCGATACCGGTAGCCGTCAAGTAAACGATTCATTCTATTAGATATCCTGTCGCCGCTTCTGGTGTAGCTAGCTACCTACCGTACCTGTAGCGAACATGAAGAAAGCCACTGCTCTGTACGAATTTTTATCTACTTGTACCCAAAAACGCTCCGATTTTGCACTTTTGTTGCTAAGTAAAATGACAATTCTTCTCGGCTAAGGGATCGCGCTCGCGTCACGTCGTCTCACGGGCCGGCCAATATTAAAAAGGGGGGGACAACCCGCAGTGTACAAGATCTATGTGCTGGCTTGGCTGTAAAGGTCATTCATCAATTCAGCCTTAACCCCGCCACCCTTCATTGGATGGCGCACCAAATGATCCCGCATTTGAATCATCGCCGAGAACCCAAGGATGGTCCTTCACCTCGCAGAGCGACAATCTCTGTCTTGGGTCTTCCCGCAGCATCTTTTGTAGCAGGTCTGTCGCCAGTGCCGAGACAGTTCTGTTCCAGCTCTCCAGCATCCTCTCGAGACCTCCTCGTGCTACCATTCGATATCGGGGGTCTTCTTCTCCAGCAAACTCCCACGGTGGCAGTCCTACGAGCATGATGAACAAGATGACTCCAGCAGCCCAAAGATCGATTGCGAACCCATCGAAAGGACCCTCGCTCTTAAAAATCTCGGGACTGATGTAATTGGGCTTTCCGCATGGTATCAAGGGCCCTATGAGACGACGCAACGTCCCGGCAGAAACGTCGGTGACCTTGCCATCGTCATCGTAGGGCACCCTTAAGCACATACCCAAGTCAATGACAACCGACGTACGATATTCATCTACAAGGATATTCTCCAAGGACATGTCGCGATGACATACTCCCATTCGCTGAAGATGGGAGAGACCCTGCAAAATTCAAAATCAATTTAGATAAGAGATGAGGGCAGAGGAAAGGAGGGATGAGATTACAGCGGCCACGTGTGAACCAAATTGTTTGCACTTGCAGCAATCCGTTGTGGAGATCAGCTTCGGTTCATTGATTGAAATCTGATTCGACTCTGATTTCCAAATTGATCGAATCATTTTCGCAATACGACGACAACAGTAGAACTCACTTCTAGAATTTGTTTGAACCAGTATCGGGCCATGGGTTCGGGGAAGCGACCCGCTTGTTGAACAAACCCAAAGAGATCCCCCGATGAGCAAAAGGGCATAAAGAGTAGCAAGTACTCGTCATCTTGGAGTACGTCCAGCACGCCCATGACATGGGGATGACCGCCCGACTTGGAGATGTACTGCATGGCAGCGACCTCCTTTTGTGGGTCTTCGATGTGACGAAGATCTCTAATCTTTTGCCATGACATGATTTTGACGGCGGCCTTCTGTGCGGTGACCTCCCAAGGAGCATTCATGTCGTTCCGGAAGCGTAAGATGGTGCATTCCTTGACGACACCAAAGATACACTTCTTGAGTTTTCGTCCGACCCAGTAGGCTCTGTCAGGGGGTCTTCCATCGGCATGTCTCTCGTAAATAATGTTGGAGACTTCCAGTACGTCGTGTGTGACGGGATTGTAGACTGGCGCATCCACACGTTCCGCGTTTCCAGTTTTCGGCCTGTCAAAAGGCAGAGGCGCACAGGGAGCCCCATTTACTTCAATGTCTTCATAGGCAGCTGATGCGTTGTCGAGAAACGCAAGATCTTCCTCCATCTTTGGACCTCCTGACTTGATTTGCTTCTTGTGTTTGGTGGGTTGTCTGTGCTCCGCGTTGCTAGCTACAACAACGACCACAGTTCTTCTTGCAGCTGTTGTGTCTTGGTTGTTGTTGTTGTGGGTGCTCTACACACTAGCAGTCAAGTAGTAGCCAATAGCAGCAGGCGCAACAGCCACAGCAACGCGTGAAAAAGCTGTTTGTTCGTGTCTCTTGCTCACACTCGACTCCACTATCTCAGCATGCGGAGCAATAGTACTACAATTACTATCGATAGTGATCCGTTTCCGCAAGAGAGACACTCAGTGCGCCTCGTCTCCTTTCTTTGGGTTGTTTGTTTGGCTGCTTGGCTCAATTGGATTTGGTTCACACAGAGCGATTGTAGTAGTAGCTGCGGAGACCCAACACAACACAGAGTTACAACAGACATCCATTCAGTGCCTCTTTGCTGCTGCGTCCTGTGTGTGCTTGGCGTGGCGGCCCCTCTTTGTCTGTGCGGCTTTCCAGCGGTACTTGGCAGTATGTAGTCTACCGAACCGTACGTACCCTTGGTAGTCCAAGTGGGGGTCCAAGAAGCTCCAGTAGTTTTGGGGGCCACGCCAAGCCAGAGTGGCTGCTGTGACCATAACCTTGGTGAGAAAGACTCTCAAGCGCGTCGGCACTTCGCCGGGCAGTCTTGCAGACAGGCGTCAATTTTCCGCATTCCCTCCGGCGCTCCAGGATATCGCAGGCTCTGTTCCACTCGTTTGGACGGTCATGACGACAGGAAGGTTGGATGGCAATAGGACTCAACCAACCCAACTCGAGTGCCGACACCGTTGTCTGTGCTCACCTTTGTTGATGGCTTTTGTCGGAGCCAGAGACAAACAAACAAAGAAACAAACAAACAATAGATACGCCATAGAAGCACAGGCATCCAGCCATAGCAGAGGGAACCGTCTGAAGTGAGCTTCCAGAGCGCATCGCTCACATCATCACTGATTGATTCTCAGTCGAGTCCATCGCCACCGTCGGAACGTGGAAGCCAAGCAAAGGGTTCGTTTTCGGACACCACAAACAAACAAAGACAACCACTAGTTCGTTAGCAGAACCCTGGCAGGATACGTGCCAGCGCCGTTCTTTTCAACAAGCGTTGGGCACTGCAGCAGGGCAGAAAAAGTTGGGTGGTTCCGAATCCTTACTATAAGAAGCAGACCAAGAGACCAACGCCAGTGCCATCGCTTCTACCAGACAGCATCATGAGTCGGTCTCGGTGAGTGCTTTTCGAGTCAATGCAGTGTTGCTCAAGAACAAAGTCTTTTTCTTTGTGTTTGTGTTTCTAAATTTTTATTTGGTACTGCATTTTCTTGTCAATCCGCAGAGTGTATGCGGATGTCAACGTCCATCGTCCCAGAGACTATTGGGACTATGAAGCATTGACGGTCAATTGGGGTGACCAGGAAGAATACGAAGTGATCCGAAAGATTGGACGCGGAAAATACAGTGAGGTAAGATAGCTGAATGCTACCCATGTCATTAAGCTGAATGCTACCCATGCAAAAAAATTGTTGGCTCATCTTTGGACACTATTGCATTGTACGACTGACAGGTCTTTGAAGGCATCAACGTAGTGAACAACACCAAATGTGTCATTAAAATACTGAAACCTGTCAAAAAGAAAAAGATCAAGCGTGAAATTAAGATCTTGCAGAATATGTGTGGTGGAACCAACATTATTCAACTCTTGGATGTCGTCCGGGATCCTCAAAGCAAGACACCCTCACTTATCTTTGAACACGTCAACAATACCGATTTCAAGATACTGTACCCTACTCTGTCGGACTATGATATTCGATACTACATTTTTGAACTTCTCAAGGCGCTCGATTATTGTCATTCCAACGGTGTCATGCATCGCGATGTCAAACCACATAATGTCATGATTGATCACGAGAAAAGACAGCTCAGACTCATCGATTGGGGTCTCGCGGAATTCTATCATCCCGGAAGGGAATACAATGTCAGGGTAGCATCGCGCTATTTCAAAGGACCAGAGCTCTTGGTCGACTTGCAGGAATATGATTACTCCTTGGATATGTGGAGTCTTGGTTGCATGTTTGCGGGGATGATCTTCCGAAAAGAACCATTTTTCCATGGCCACGACAATTACGATCAGCTCGTCAAGATTGCCAAGGTATTGGGCACGGAAGAGCTGTTTCATTACCTCGATACCTACGACTTGGAGTTGGATCCTCATTTTGATGGCATTTTGGGTCGTCATTCCAAGAAGCCTTGGCAGAAGTTCATTACTCCCGAAAATCAGCATCTAGTTTCGGACGAGGCAATTGATTTTGTCTCCAAACTACTCCGGTACGTTTCTTTGTTATTATTGCGTGGTTTTCTGTTCTTTGGACCGTGTGTATGTTGTGGGCTCACACTCTCGTCTTGGATTCTGGCGCAGATATGATCACCAAGAAAGAATGTCAGCAAAGGAAGCTATGGCCCATCAGTACTTTGCGCCTGTAAGAGAAGCCGCTGCCAGAGATGCTGCAGCAAGGAGTGCTCAGCCATCGTCTGCTGGCTATGCTGTGTAAACGGGTCGAAGCGCTGGTGAAGCATGCACTTACTCTTTGATTGAGTTTCGTGACATGCAGTTTGCTTCGATCTCGTTCTACTTCTACAATACTAAGTCAATAAATCAAGTTACAGTACATGGATTCAACAACAACATTGGTTTATTAAGCAAGTCTTTGCCTTGGTACAGTAGACAGCTTGCGGAAGGATGGGATGGACCTCTGCACGAAAGCCGATGATTGACACAAAGAAGTTCGTTCGTTCGTTAATCTCCACTGGTGCTGTGTGAGGGTTTGGGTAACTCGAGTTGCTGAAGCGCCTGGGTGGAATAATTTACTACTACTAGCACTACTCTCCTTAGTTGATAGAGGAGCTTGCAGTGCTCTCCCAGTCATTGCTGGGAGCCCGGCCTGTACGATAGACAGGGTGATACAGGGTTGTGAGTTGATATGAGGTGGCCAATGGTGAATGTGTAGGCAGCTACCCGATGGGCAGCTGGCATTCAAGAAGGAACAGGGCCATCCATTGTGGGTATTGTGCCATGTCAACCTGCGTAAAAGTTGGGGTTTCATTGTGCAGGAGGGTGCTGATGAAGGCACAGGTGAAGACACACAGTCAACCCGACTGCGCTGTGTTGGGGTTGTATACCGTATAGGGGTGGTTTGCAGAGGAACAACCAGTCTCCAAGGGGGAAGAGGGCATTGGCGAACTCAGGCAGGTGTTCATAGGAGAGGTATCGGAGGGTTGCTGTGAGAACTGGGTGCGAGGATTGAATGCACTGTTCTTGCAGTGGCTGCGATTGACAAAGTCATTATTATAGCTGGTACACAAACCTGTCGTGCACGGCATCATTAAAGTGGCACGTGGGTAGCTTTGGTGCTTTCGATTCACAGCATGGTGTGCGGTGTATGATATACAATCGTAGACCGATGGCAAGGCGTTCTGGCTTCGTGGCAGAGTGGATCTCCTCGCTGACAGCCACCTCGAACTTTTGCAGTTACGTTCCTAGCTAGTCCTGCCCAATACCAAGTTTTCCATTACTAGAATGATGCGATGGCGAGAACTGCGTAGCTAGCGGTACGCACAACTGCTCTTGCTGAAGATAATGTCAGCACAACTTACCTATTATTAGAGACTCCCACACCAGGGCAACAGAACCTTGGCTCTACACACTGAATGCTGGCCCTGTTCCCTTGCGGTAGGTTCAGCATAGCTTTGGTGTCATCGGGACATTTGGCCTAAAATATGACTCTGATCTCAAAACAAATATTCTATTCCTGGGTCCACTCGGATAGCGCATGCAACTGAAGACAACAGCCATCATAAAAATTTTAGTTCCAAGGGAAACAGGGTAGTGACAGTGGGTTTGCCTCTCTTCCATACCTCCTATCATCCTTGCCTTCCCCTTCCCTCTCCAACCTCCTTTACAGATACCACTCTCTTCAACACGAGCAACGACCTGTGCGTAGCAACCATAGCTCAGACCTCAGTGTACAGACCCTTCGATAGCTAAATGGCGCCACCCCCTTTGAGGAGGCAAGTGCAGGTAGCATCGCTGCTACCGGTTTGACTCGAGGCTGACACTCAGCACTTTCTCCAGCTGAGCATCAGGGGCATCTTGACAATCCCACAAGTCTGCAGTGGTTTGAACTTGTGCTAAAAGGGCGTTGATAGAGACTGCACCCCCTTGCAAGTTTTCCAATCGAGGGCAATGCTGGCCAAGTCTAGATGAAATCTCCAGGGCCAAATCTTTGTACTCGTCCTTCTCTTCCAAGAGAGAAAGCACACCAGGCAGCAGGCAGGACATAAAGTCGCCAAAGGAATAGCTGGAAAATGTTGTAGGGATGAGAGAACATGTCAATGCCAATGGGATTGATCGGTAGCTCCCGCTGTCCACCCCAAACAACATTCTTGATCCAGCCCAAAGCATGAGATCTTGTATTTCTGTATCCTTGACACTGCCAAGGCTTCCGTCGTTGACATGCTCCAAAATTGTTGCCGCGGATTGTATCATTGTTATGCACTCCTTGTCGTCGCTATCTCTCCGATAGATAGCATCCAACCCGAGGACAAGACTTGAATACACTGCTGTCAATTGTGGATCAGTTTTTGAACGGTTCAATTCTGGCAGAACAAGATGAAATCCCAAATCGTCTCTCAGCGAGGCGGGCCCTGGAATCAATGCGTTTTGTTCAGGGTCGGTAAGCAATGGATGAGAGGTCGCCGTCAAAAGCGTGGCTCCATCGGTTCCTGGAACGAGCACAAGCTCTTCAAAATTGCTGGATTCTTGTGCTACCGATTTGGCCAGCTCCAAGGCAGCTGTGCCTCCCACTCCGATGATCGTGGAGGCACCAAGTCGTTGGGCAAAGGCAGCTGTTTGATTCACATCTTCCTGGAATGGAAAATGGTCCGTTGACGGTCTCGTCGAAGTACTTCTCAAGCCAGAAGATCCGAGCAAGAGCTGCACATGCTGCGATAGCTGGGATGGTTCTTCCTTCTTAGCTGCTCGCTTTCCCGTGCTTTTCGGTACCCGAAGGGCACTTTCCACCACAAGGATGGGAGTTGCACCAAAAACCTCGCGATTCTCCTTCAGTTGTCCACCAAACTTCTTCAGCCCCTGAATAATGTTTCTTTGCATGATATCCTCTGTCGCTTCTGCCAACCCCTTTCGTCTTCTTCGGTTTGTAAGTTGTGATGAGTGGTGGCAGAGACATTGGACGTGGGAGATGCAGAGATCCAAGATCCAAGATCTTAAACTGACAAAGCTGTCAAAAACCGTTGGAATGTATGGTTTCGACGGTGCAAATTTGCTATTCGTGTGGACCTGGGGTTGCTCCTGACGTTGTTGTCTGGTTTTGGGCTAAGAATTTGGAGGAGTGTCATTGGTCCTAGCTAGAGTGTTGGCCAGAGAGGCATTGGTCCTGATATGGGTCCTGGCTGCATGGGTATGGGTCAGGTGTTGGTTTTCTTGAGCCGGGCCTGGCAGAAGAATGTGGCTTTGAACATGTCCATCAGGCAGAAGTCGCCATTGGTGGATTCCTCTGGGTGCTCCAGAAGAGTGACAATATGGAAGGGGAAACCGTCACTCGCCTGATGGATTCCATCCAAGGCGCAAACGATGCCGTCAAGCAGTACACCAAGCTGTCCGCACCTGGGAGACGGCCTTCATGCTGGGCCTTGTGTGGGTCCTCGTGTTTGGGATGTGCGGTTTCAGGTATGCATTTATGCAGTGTTCACATCTGCTACATGTTCTTTAGAAACAAAGAAGTGACTAAGCACGCTGATGATAATGATACGCAGATAACTATGCAGCTTACAGCTATTCTCTTATTCACAGCCTCCACAGCGCTGTCGAATAGACTAATGATGTCGAGATCTCCCGTTTGCCTTGTTATCAATCACTTAAGTTGAGAGTCAAGGCAAGCAAGTACCAATGAGCGTCAGCACGACGCGGATGTTACATAAACTTGGAAGCGTTGATTTGGCACCACTCTTCGATGGTTGTTGCTTTCGAGTCCGTAATCTCCTCAAAGTCGCCGGACTCCGCTTCGTTTGTGATTTCGTTGCCCTCGTCGATAAGCTTGAATACCTCCAGTGTGCCATCAACCTGCCATTCTGGGTAGCCTTGTTCCAAGTATCCATCTCGACAGGCCTCGTATTCAATTGTCGACACCGTGATGGCCTTTTCGAGAACACTGCTCAAGGCGGCAGCCTGGTCGTGCAGTGAGAATGGCGCGCAAACAAGCTTATACGTCTTCTCTGCGTTTTGGTTTGGTTTTGCAAGGATGTCGGAGGCCGCTCGTGCGACATCCCTTACAGCGATGGGCGTGAACGGCATGTCAGGATCACGAGGATCGGAGAAGGAGCCGTCTTCCTTGATGGATTCAGCATATGTCAAGAGCGAATCGATGAAAACGGGACAACGAAGGATGCAGTATGATGCGGGAAAGACCTGCTTCGCCTTTGTCTCAATCTCGTTGAAGTGTTTTCCGAATATTGTATCAGTAAGAGGAGCCGTGAGCACGGACAAGACCAAAACAAAGTTGATGCTCTTTGCGCTATCAGCGGCCTCCAGTGCGTTTGCTGCAAGATCAGGTCGATTGTTTGGTACAATAATCATGGCTCTGTCGAAATGCTTCAGTGTTTTCGTCAGTGACTTCTTGTCCGCCATGTCTGCCTTGACCACATTCACTCCTTTCACAGCTTCGAACGACGACGGATCACGCGTACCAGCATAGACTTGGAGGTGCTCTCCATACCGGAACACCAGCACCGGGAGAACGGCCCGCCCCACCATTCCTGATGCTCCAATAACGATGACTTTTCTGTGGCCAGGAGGCTTTCCATCTTCACCTTCCTCGCCGTCGAATTCATCATCTGATTCTTCCTCTTTCCCGCCGAAGCAGCAAAACCCACCGCTCTTCTTCTTGGGCGGTGGCGACGCGGCAGCAGCATTGTTGTTCTCATTCTCATCATCCACGAACTCTTCGTCATCGTCTCCTCCACCTCCACCGAAATTGTATCCTTCTGCCGATTCCATTGCTTCGTGTTCACCATCTCCAATGAACACAAAGGGCAAATCAAGAACTGTACCAGAATGACAGCAGTCAAAAACACACGTCATGGTAACGCCCGATGGCATCTTACGAACCAGGTTCGTCAAGAGGTCATCATCACGGATCTGGCCCCCCGTTGAATAATCCAAAGGTACCAAAGATTCGTCGAAACCATCATCTGCAGTAATGGAATACAGAATCGTTAGGGATCAAACACAAGCCTACTGCTCCAAGCTCTCGTCTTAATGAAGACAACAACACGTACCTTCATCGCCATCGTCGTCTTTGAGCCTACCACCGTGACCTGTGGACATTCAGAGAAAAAACATACAGACCATACGGTAAAAGTGAGCAAAAAGAAGTCCCTACGATGTAGGTATCCAGCATCAAACAACTCGGCTTGGTTACTGACCGGAAAAGTGACAGAACACAACGTCCCCTTCTTCGGTTTCTTCAACTAGCTTCTCGTACGCAGCGAGGATGTTCTCTTTTGTGGGCTCAATGTGATCATCGTCATCATCATCCATTAGAAGGGTGATGTTTTCATGTTCAAATCCGTGAACTTCCAACAGGTATTCCATCATCTTTCGCAGAACAATAATAAAGAACAAGAAGAAGTGAGGTTGAACTGCAACCAGAGCAGAACATCAGAGAGATGGATCAAATTATTGCAACTTACATTGTTCACATCGTTGTGGCATCCAGATAGCTCTCCATCCTGACCGACATAGTTGATTCCAATCATTACAGCACGCTTTGTGCCTTCAAATTCGTCTGGGACGATGTGGAATTTCTCGTTGACATTCATATTTCGAGAACTGGACAACTGGGGTATCTATCCTCATGCAAATAGCGCAGATAAAGGGAGAGAATCAGAACCGCACGAGCCAGAACCACGTGAGAAAGACTTGAACAAGCCAACATCATCACAACAAAACTCAAACTACGGCGACGACTGCACCCACCTGACTAAAGTTCTCTGATAGGTTGTCCCGGATCTTTAGAATCACTTCTTCAAAGGTCAGATCTTCAGAGGTATCCGTGTGATCCGCGTACAGGACCTGCAGCATGGCCGAGGTGCATGCCCCACCAGCCTTCCCTGAGGGGTCAGGGAGCTTGAAATCTGCTACATTGGAGACGTCCGCCGAAGTCTGTTCATCTCTGCACCCTGAGATCAAACGAACGTCGGCGGGAATGTATTTCTCAGCTTGTTCTTGGGCTTCTTCCATGGTGGCCTTCTAAAGTTGCTGTGGAACTTTCCCACGCAGTACCACTGTTTTGTTCTTTTGCCACCACAAGAGAATCGACTTCAGTTTTGTTGCTGGCTTAATTGTCTCCCTTTGAGCGTACCTCTTTTTAGTCGATTCTGTGAGAGGACATCTCTTGTATAGAAATGAAAACCTCTTGATCCAACGGTTTCACTCTTGTTCAAGAAAAATGGCGACAGGTTCGCCGTTAGAAGGACGATTTTTTGTTACGGGGTCACTGAGGCGTGACCACGATAGATCACGAGTGCCAACCCAGCACCATGTTATGTCTCTGAGGTCATCGATGATGTAGACGACTCTTGGAATCCAACATCTTGGGATGATGGGGATATGATACAGTCAAGCTCAAGGGGAAGTTGGCTCACAATACTACAAAAGGCAAAACCACCATCAAGGCCAAGCAACCAGAGCTGTGGTACCACTGCTCGGATCAGCCCCCTCAGTCAATCAAGATAGCTGGGCTCACACTGCCTTCTTTGGGGGAGATTCCTTGTAGGCTGCTAGCTACTAGCTAGGTACGAATCGCATAGAGGTACCTGGTACTGGCAAACTAAACCTGTGCTCGACGAAACGAGCAAGAGTGGGTTGGTTTCTTAGCCCCTGGATATCTGAAAGACAAGCATTGATAGCACGGATGAATGGGCGGGGATGGAATGCAACCGCCTCGTCGTTTTGTTCCGAATGTAGAACCCACTATCTGGGGGCTGCCAAATGGCTTCAACTCGTAGCTAGTTATTGCTGTGATTGGATTCTGGACCGTGGCTGCTAAGGCATACTACTAGCTAGCTAGGGCTGGTTTGACAGCGGCCATTTCGTGTCCGGCCGTCGTAGCCGACTCGTACCGCTTCCGGAACGGCTGTGCCGCACCACCACTTGATTGGAGGTACCGATACCGCCACTTGGCCAGGAACGAGCAAGGAGACATTGGTTCTCACATTTGAAAGATGTGTGCTGCAGGAATCTTGCTACAGTCCAGAAGAAGAGTCTGACAAGTCCATCCACCACTGCTTTTTGTTTTCGTGTTGGGAGGGATCTTTGAGATTGTTCGCAGCTTCTTGAGCGACCAGACCACAGAACACACAGACATTGCTTCGGTCAGGCTATTGGTCGTAGGTGAATCGAATCGGTTCAGGACTCCCCCCAAGGGTGTGGTTTCGAAGTGTCCATTGGGGCCCTCAAGAGCCTTGACGAGCACTATTCCGACACCATGACGCTTGTCGAAAGGGCAAGTTCGTCCTAGCTCTTTGCCGCCGACCTCAGCCTGGCAGGAACACCCACAAGACCGCTCTACATTTGGCTGACTCGACTCAGACCTTCACTCGACTACAAGCTATGTATCTAGATATCTCAACCAGTTGCTACTAAAACATGAATCTAAACAGCACCAAGCCATTGGGAACCATGCAGCATGGTTTCGTCCTAAAAAGAATCAAAATCATATTCATTCGGGACGATGCCTGCTGCCTATCATGGTCCCCGAGTTTTTTCGTTTTTCAATTCCTTTTGCACGTTCTGTACAGTATCGTGTGCAACTACGCAAATCAAATGTGTCTTTTCCAACCCGCATAATCGCTGTGTGTGATGGGCACGTGTTGTCGAGTGTTGCTGAGTTTTGGATTGAATGGACGCACAAGCCAGCCCAAAGTTTCTGCCAACAACAACACAACAACAACGCCTGCTGCTCTGAATAAAAAGCAAAGCAAAGGGTAGAAGAAAACTGACTAGCATTCCTCCTGACTTTTTCGAACGACTTGTCGCACTTTCTTCTTGAATGCGGCACGGTCATTTCGCCACATTACGGCGGCATCGAGATTTGCTGGACTCTCGTCATTGGGATCTGATAGCATGGAGATGACCGACATTAGGATCTGTTCCACCCCCAAGATGGGCCTCCAGCGTTCGTCGGCGCTTTCCTGTGAGTTGTATTCGTCCTCACCAGGCGGATGAAGAATGGAAATGCAAACTCGTCCATCGGCGTAGACATTGGGGTGCCACATTTCGGAGGTGAAGGTCATGGTGGGAGGCATGTTGGGAAAGTCCGAAGGAAAGACAAGTCTAGCTTTGAAGAAACCCCCTTCATACAGAGTCCCATCGGGTCCCATGATCAAGATCTCCCAGTCGTACACATTGCTGTCATCGGCGAGACCAACCGACACCAGATCGATTGGGTTTTTCGCGAGATCTGAGGTGTAGAGAGACAAAGACAACGATGAGCATGGTTCCTAGCACAACAGGGACGAGCCTGACTGACTGATGATGCCTGTGTAACGCCTGACTGAAGCAATTCTCTCGCGAGCATTTCGCGGCGAAAATTTCGACAAAATCTACATGACAGGGCATTCTCCAAGAGAACATCCCGTCAAAACCCACAACAACGCCTCCAATTTTCTGCTTCTTCCGGCGGACGATGCTCTGCTTGGGCCGCCAGTGCCGCTGAGCAAAGCAGTTCTGCCCGGAAAAGTGCGTGTGACTCATGTCCAATGCAGCCCAGCAGCGCGCCAAGTCACGCCAGTGTCTACAATGACACTACTCACCAGCTAGCTGCCGTCGCAGGAGCTCCGTTCCATAGTCCGACATGCTGTTGATTCCAATGGTCTGCGGCCTGTACAACCAGCTCTTCCTCTACTTCTTGTCTCACTTCGTCGGCTACTTGTCGCAGCTGTTGTCCCTCGTAAAATTCTGGAGTCTTCTGTTGTGACTGATTTTAGCTGGCTCCCTTTCCTTCCTCCGGGTTTCTTCTTTATTCCAGACGCACACCGTCTCTTTACCGCACGACCACCCGTTTGAAATCGCTCGAGCTCCACGTCTCTCCGTCATTGCGAGGCCTTCAACGAACCTGGTCAACCATCATTCATTGCATTGCACCGACCTATCAAACATCAAACCTCACAATCACCAGTCAACCAAAGCCAACAGCAAGTTACTAGTAGGTTCTTTCGCCTGTGGCAACGAATCGAATCTATCAACTCTAGCAAAGCTCTTTAGCTAGAAACTACTTTTTTGTTTTGAACAACCCAGACGATATTCGTTGTTGATGCTTGACGCCTTTTGTCGTAGTTGCACCAACACCATCATTCCGTCACCTAAACACCAACCCCCGAATCACCCGTCTTCAGCAGCCACACAAACTTGGTGTGACTGCTTTGAGAGACCATCATTATTTGGACTATACAAAGAACGAAATTTAAAACCGACTCTGAGTCGGAATAGGGAAAGAATACGACAATCACTGCTCTTCGGTTAATACAAACTTAGTCTAGTGTATCAAGCAAAATGGTTCGCGGAGGAACTATCATCAACATTTCGGGCACCACGCCCATTGAAGATCCCGAGTATCGGTACAAGATGCCCGCTGTCTTTGGAAAGATCGAGGGGTCTGGAAATGGAATCAAGACGGCCATTCCCAACATTTCCGATGTCGGCTTGAGTCTTCATCGCAATCCTGGTGAAGTCAACAAGTTCTTTGGATGCGAATTGGGAGCCCAGACCACGTATTCGGCCGATACGGATCGTGCCATTGTCAATGGAGCTCATACCGATGGCGTGCTACAGGAATTGGTCCATCGCTACATTGAAAAGTTTGTGCTCTGCCCCAACTGCAATCTCCCGGAAACCGACTACAAGATCAAAAATGGAACCATTTCGCACAAATGTGCTGCCTGTGGAGCCAAGGAAATGGTCGATATGACACACAAACTCTGCAAATTCATCATTGCGGAGGATACTAAAGCCAAGAAGCAAAAAGCAAAGAAGGACAAGGACAAGAAGAAAAAGGGCAAAGGCAAGGATGATAGTGATGATGACAAAAAGAAGAAAAAAGGAAAGAAGGACAAGAAGAAGGTAAGACAGAATAGGATCCTCTTTTTGTTGGGTTTACGGCTTGCGCTTTCAATGGGATGTTAGGTCTAGTACTCACTGATGGATTTGTTTGGTTGCGATTCTAAGGACAAGAAAAAAGATAAGAAGGATAAGAACGGAGATGACGACGAGGGAGGCGAGGACTACATCAAGGAGGCCTTGATGGGTGGAAAGAAAGCCGACGACGGACTTGGCGACGACGATGACGGGGACTCGGTCGCGTCGGAAGCTGGTGTTGACGATGAGGGAGCTCTTTGTACGTGTAATCGATGCTGTGATTCCGTGCTCGATTCGATTCCAGCTTGTGATGCTCACAATCAACCCTTCTTTGTTTATGCGTAGTGCTCGCCGTGGAGGCCACCAAGAAGTTCCTTACGGAGAATCCAGAAGCCAAGCCTGCTGATATTGCCGAATTGGTGACAAACCAGCAGATGGCTTCGGCGTTGAAGTCCCAGCAGAAAGTCCATATCTTTGTCCAGGCTGCCTTTACTCCTCAATCCCCCAAGAACAAGGAGGTTGTCAAGTACTCCCCGGCTATCATTGCTATTACCAAGGAAAACGAGGTCATGGAGAGGCACCTCATTGCCGCTTTGGAATTGCTTTGTGTTAGCAAGCCCAAGATCTTCCCTGTCTTTATCAAGCAGCTCTACGACGAAGATGCCCTTCAGGAGACTACCATCGTTGACTGGGCTGACGCTGGTCGTAGCGACTACACTTTGGCTGCTGTCGACGAAGATGCCCGTGCTAATCTCCGCAGTGAGGCAGAGCCCGTTGTTGTGTGGCTCCAGGACGAGGACAGCGATGAAGATAGCGACGACGAGTAGATCAAATGCTGGCACGGACCGACGGCTCCTTTCGCACTCTATTCAGACCAGACAGATTAGGAAAAGTAGGAATACCTAGTAGTAGCAAACAGAGATTTTAGAATAGTTCACTGTGTTTCCATGTTAGGTGAAAGGGGCCTTTTGCTGTGTTGAGTGTGGTATTTGGTGGCTAGCTACGGTACTCCTCGAGGACAGGCGCCTCCTCCCCGCCGTACATATGCTCGTCTCGGATGGCAGCTTGGCGTCTGCACCAGTGGTACGATGCTAGCTAGGTATCATCGCTACTAGCCTGAAACTATGGGGAGCATTGCGAGTCTCGTCTCACCCAATCCTGCAACTAGCTAGACTAGAAGGTTCGTGCAGAAGACGAGGACAAAAACATCATAACAACCCAATTGAGAGCCAAAAGATTGCAAAGATGTATTTATTATTATTTTCTGTACCTCAACCAACAATGCGGGCGAAACCCCGAGAAGCAGTAATTGTCAGAATGAGTATGCCCATTTTTGTTTGCTTCCTCTTGGCCATCACGGGGCACTAGCCGTGAAGCGGAATAGTCTTCAAAACAACCCGGCACAATCCATTATCCGGGCGACATATTATATTCGAAAGAGAAGCAGATGGTACCGAACGAATCCTTTAGTACACATCCGGAGGCTGAAACCCCATGAAATCATTTCCAGGTGTCTGCTGAGCTTGGAGATGGTAGCGTAGCGAAAAGATCATTTGTTCCAGTCGTCGAATGTTGTCCTCCGCATTTACCTTGAAATGCCGAGCGGCCTCAAGGTCGTTGGATGCCTGTGTCTGCCGTTCCTGTTGAATTGTTACGGCCCGCTTCAGGATGCGGTTTTCATTGAGCGTCTTTTCGTGCTCAGATTTCAAACTCGCCAAGGACGTCTCCAGATTCGCCTTGGCACTCTTGAGACATTCGATTTCGTTGGATTGCGTCTCGACGAGGCGCTCCAAGTCGCCTTGGCTCTGAACAGGACTGAGAGCATCCTGTCGGCAGCGTTTGAAGGAAGGTCCTTTGGAAAGAGAGACATAGGAATGAATGGTTAGTTGAGTCACGAGTAAGAAGATTGCCAATCGCATTGTCCACGACGCGATGACAACCGCGTCGCAGCATGGTTTCAGCATGAACAGCGAGGCGCCGCAGTCCCATTGTGAGGACTGCTGCGGAGCGATCAAGCGCCTTCTTACCATTGCTGCTACTAGCAGTGATGGCGCTCGAAAAAATACTCTTGTTTTTGTTGATTGCTGCGGTCATGAAGGAAGGAAAGTCCGTTGGTCCATCGTTTGTCTCCGCCATTGCCGAGTCCGGAAGGAAGCGTCGTCGCTTGAACGCACGTTGCATATTGTTGTTATTTTCATCAGAAATTTCCATGCTGCTAGTAACAAAGGGATTATCCATCAAACCCGGAGAGCAAGCGAGGGAACGCTTGGTCCCCGCCGCAGCATGTGCTATCGTAAGTGGTGAAGCGACTTCCATCGTGGCGTTCGGGCTGGCTATCACAGCGAAAATAACAACAACAGCAAGGTCTTTGTCTCTTCTATTTTCAGACGTCTGGCTTTTTGTCCAGTGTTATTTCAGCCCAATTGCTTTTTATGAAGGCCTTTGATCTCTCTCTCATTCGTTCACGGTTCACAGCGATGCGAGGTCTCAGCGTGGAGCCAGTCGGCCTTGACGGTTTTCAATGCAAGCCTGTCAGCCACTATTTATTTAAGCCTTGTGTCTTTTAAGTACCGGGTCGACTGAAGAGACATAAGGGAGTATTTTAAGGCGGGAGAGCGAAAGAACACCCACGAGCAGAACCGAAAGTGGCCATCAGACACGATGCGAGGCACGAGCTCGAGGAACGGAGATTGTTTGGTTGTTTGATTGATGCTGTGGTTTCGACTCGATTGAATCATACGGATCGTGCAGTTTCAGCCCCTTCTTTAAATCTCTCAAACTGCACCAGTGAGCCAATGCAGCGGCAGGGCAACCATAGCGACAACTTTCCAGCCCCATAGATACTGGTACCGGTAGCTAGGAAGAGGAACTTTTGGTGAGAAATATCTGTGCTCCTGTCCAGATTACCAAAGGATTGAATTCGTTTTGTCAAAAGATGTTGAGCTTTGTTTGCACCGGATTATCGTGTGTTACTTTGGCAAGCCAGCTAGATGAAAGATGAAACAGTGGGCTAAGACAATGCAACCAGAAGAAGAAAAGGGAAGCCCGTCTGCATGGGCTTGGTGGGATCAGCGGAGTATGCTGAAGATGGCCAAGTGCTGTTTGGCCCAATGGAAGATTCCAAGGAAAACATGCTTTGAGCAAAACTCACGCCAAAAGCAAATTCTCAAACTCGCTCTAACTTTATGAGTGCTAGCCCTAGCAATCTATCCAGCACGCTACTGTAGACACCTTCACCGTACTAGTCCTACCAGTCAGTACCTCATCTCCATGACTATTGCTCCTTTACAGCGAAAATGCCATTCCCTCTTTGGACTGTGAGCTGAGGAACAGATTCATGCTTTGGCATCGAACGAACGTTTCCAGCACAAGGTTGAAGCCGTCCATGCTCAATGCAAGGTTTCGATTGACGTCATGATCCGAATGCTTGAAGAGAGGTTCGTAGCCATGCTCCTCTCGCCACCTCTTGATGTGAAAGAACCTATCCTCGTCGAACAGAATTGTTGGCTCGGAGCACTTCTTATCTCCCACAGCCTCTTCCTCGATCCAAAAGCAACTGGAAGAAATGCCTGTAAAGCAACGCGGAAATGATGAGACAACACGATCTTAAGCAATACAAATCTCAGTTGTACCTCATTGCAATTCTTGCCTGCCATCAATTCATCAATGAAACTGCGACAAACAGAACGCAAAACGTCAAAATCAGCTTCTTGCTTTGGAACCTGCAAGTCTCGGCGAAGAGTCAATGCTGGGCTGTCACACGACCAGGCATCGCGGAACAGCTTGGCTCCGAAATGGGATCCAAGAATCTGAGCTAGGTATAGCACTTGGGCTCGCAACTCTTTCATGATGGCCCCGGGGTCTTTATCGTCTTTGTCGCTAGGTGCGAGGTTGGTGGTGTCAAACGAGAATTCAGGAGCCAAAATGACACGACCCACATCCAAGTCCACCAATGTGACATCCATAGGCAAATCGTTCATGATTTCCATTGTACTTGGGTCTTCTGATGGCATTCCAAGAATAAACGGAGCAGGATACTGGACCAAGTCTTTCGCCAACGCCGTTGGCACTAGGGGCACCAGCAAATGGCACCATTTTAGTGGCGTAAGCATTGACTGCAATGCCGCAGTTGCCGAAAACAGAATGCTTCTGCGACTCGAAGATAAGATGATCTTTTGCTCCATCAAGGCCGCAATGAACAACAAGGCAAGCGGGATTGGTGGCAAACAAGTGATGAGCTGCTGACCTGCATGCCTCTCAAACTCTTCCTTTTGCGCCGAAAGCGGCCGTTCGATCCAGGGCGCCGAAGAAGCACGAATGTAAGGTTCCAAGATGGACTTCAAAGCAATTCCTTCGACGTCTTGGTGAGCGAAATTGCCAAGCAGATCCACCAATGCACCACATGCAAGCACGTTCTTTTGGCTGCCTCCTTGAGCCTCTGGTGCTCTCGAGAAGTCACGTAGCAGCATCCACAGTGTCTGTCTCATTGCTATTACTGTGTTTCGACGACTGACAAGTGCCACACCAACAGTGGCCGACGCGGTATGGTCCCGATCCTCATCTTGATGCACTCTGTCGATCCACCTCTTGTCGCGTATGTGACTGTTGAAAACTGGAACCTTCGCTGAGACCTTGACGTTGCGATTGAAGGTTAACCAATGATTGTCAGAAGGGATGTCAAAGGTAATTGGCGAGGGGAATTTCCCGTCATCATCAATCGTTGCAGGTTCAGGGCTGCTGCCGCCATCAGCGGATGCTTTCGTCTTGCCTTCGTCGGCTTTGTCAAGCAGCTGGGTCAGAGAAATTTTGCGTGGATAATATCTAGCATTGGGGCTCTGCTGGAACACGAGAGAAACGCCATACAAAGAGTGGGATTCTTCCGGTTCTGAACCGTCGTCCGCCTTTGGGATCATGAAGTTGATGAGTGAAATCTCCCAGCCATCCGCACTAATCCATCGAGATGGCACGAACACAATTTAGACTGAATCATCTACAACGGGTGAGTACGCTCAACGTGAAACCCGTTCATGTACGTACCTGATGGAAACGTTGCCAGTCACCTCAGAAAATCCAGACAAACGCGTCGACGGGAGGACGGCATAGCTCTCAAGTGTTGGAGGGATCATCTCATCCTCGAAGGACTCTGGAAGCTTTGGGCCTCCAACAGTTACATCCTGGCAAGTGTAGCGGCGAATGTCAGACTGACGATCCATTGCTGGACTCATCATTTTTACCGCCAAGTCGGAACCAACACTAGTCCCAAACACCACAGCACAGTCGGCGTTGAGCGACTGTGCCGTTGCCTTTGTTTCTGTTGGTGCGGGCTTCTTTGCTGCGGATAGATTGAGGGGCCTATGGGGCGAAACACCAACTGGGAGGTCAATTTTTCGAAGAAGGCGTTTGATACAGCCCGAGGGTAGCTCCGGCAACGGTTTTGTCGATTCTTCCACCTCGCCCGATCTATCCGGTGTAAGGAGTTTCGATTGTTCTCTTTTGCCCTTGACAATTTCGTTGCAGAGCATTTCGTGAAAGTGATGCTCTCGGAACTGTGAATGAGTGTGGATGGCGTAGTCGTACAGGAGGTGGTCTGCCAAGTCTTTTAGATTCTTCAACAGACCGGGCTCCGAAGCAAACTTTTGAGCAAATCGAGCTCTGCATTCCTTGTCCGTTTCACCCCCCGAACTGCCCAGAACCTCCTTGCGAATAGATCGAAGTCTGCCACGGAGTGACTCCAAATACTCCTTTGATTCTTTGCTCTTCCAGCAATGCTCTAACGCGCCCACTCCAGGCACGATGAAAATTTCCCAGAACTGCCCGATGGCTTTGACAATTGCCTCCCCATCACCTTCACTGATCGTTGCCTTGGTGTTATTGCTTTCTGCTCCGCCCTCTGTTGGCTTAGTCTCTGTCCCAGCGACGTTCTTCTCTTGGAACCGCTCCAGGGCCGGCACAACGTTTCGTAGGATAAACAAGTAGCAACATAAGCCACCAGCAGCGCCAACCATTCGTCGTCCGTTGCGGCCCAACAGTGTAGAATCATCAGTACTGAGTGTGGACGTTGGATCTTTCTCCAGTTGAATGAGATAGATCAATGTGAACAGAAAGCAATGCTTTGCTGAAGCATCAGGGGAGGGTTTGGTTATCAAAGCCTCCATGACCGAATTCAAAGATACGTTGACGTAGGGAGCCACGTTTCGGAGATACCCTCTCATGCGGGCACAATGGTTGGACACGAGGAACAACAAGAAAGTAGTTCCGCACAGCGCATCCACGACGGCATGCTGAAATTCCAAGAACAAGTCCCGAGAGACACCATCTGAATCTGCCTTGGCCAAATCCGCTTCCAACTTTCTCAAAACCGAGTCCGAGACAATGTGATGAAAGTCAAACATGGGTGGCTCCAACCTCGGCTGTCCCGATCCCACATCGTTGACTTTGGTAGGTAGAAAGAACTTGCAAGCAATGCGTTGCGCCACTTCCTTTCTGCGGCACGCTGGGGTCACGCCATGCAAGTCCGCAAAGTTGAGCAGTTCTAGAAAGAGCATCAGCAGTGCATTGGGAGAGTTTTTGTTGGGTTGTTGCAACCGCTGTGAATTGGAAGCTTTGTAGGTGTTGTTGTCGAGCATATCTTGCTCCATGGTTAAATGGCGGCCCAAGAAAGGAAATCGACGTCCATCTACGGCGCAGCACAAAAAGGCATTGCGCAACGTCTCACGAAGGTTGTCGTCACTGGCGGCAAACTGGCTGAACTCCGTAACCGAAAAGTTGTCATTGCAACTATTATCGACGAGAAAGAACAAGATCAATTTCCCCTTTTTGTTTCAGGTTGACAATTTCGGAGGGAAAGAAAACTTTGACACTTACCGTTTTCCAACCAAGTGCTTATATGCCTTGGATGCCGCGAGAGGAGGCAAGGGGGGACTGGTGTAACCCTCCGCCGTACGAACCACGGGAATCTTAATGTCGTCATAGACTTGTTCGTCATGCTCTTCAAATTCTTCTTCTTTGGGTTCCTCGACATCTGGCTGTGTTGTTGTTGGATTGTCGTCTCCCTCCTCCTCTTCCGTGTTGGGTGAAGAAGTGTCATCCGCGTTGGGAGCCGATTCCTGTGGCTCTTCTTTTGGCTCTTGATTCTTGTGAGCAGAAGCAATCATTTCTCGCTTTTGTTTCATATCCTTGGCTCGCATTCGGTGCATCATGGCCACGGCCAAATCCAAGTACGTGATCCGGTCGACATCCATTTCGACCCCCGTGGTCAACACCAGCACCACAGGTCGCTTGGCATGTGCAATGATGGATGGGACATCGGCAATGGTATGTTTTCGGACATCTTGTGGTCCTACCTTGACAATGGAGTCCCCCACCGCCACAACACCGGATTTATCGGCGGCTCCTCCACTGACCAAAAAGTCCACGTAGGTTCCTTGATGTTTGACGTACGGATTTTTGAGATTGACTTGGAGTCTACCAGCTCCCAAGAGCAACACGTATTGGAATGGTTCCAACGAGGCAAGAATTTCTTGCAAGTGCCCGGCAGCTCGTGATTTGAGGATGAGGGAGGTTTGTGATTCCTTGGCAGCTTCATGAGAAGATGCCGAGGGTGTGGCGGGTTTGTTGGTTGGATCATTGTTGTTGCCAGCATAGCGACCTCTAAATCCAGTGGCATAGTAGGAATCGAGAGATTCGGCAACGCCACTGGCCACAGCTTGTGCTCTGGATCGCAGTTCCCTGCGAGTCGGAAGATTGGGAATCGTTCGTGGAGTTGAATGAGATGTCTCTGCCTCTTCCTCGTCATTGTGATGCTTTTCTTCCGGGTCTTCCTCGTCGTTATTGTCATCATTGGTAGAGTTACGAGTGGTAGTATTGTCATTGGTGTTTTCTTCCATGTTGATAAAACCGCCACCAGTCGAATTGTCTGCCTCTTCTGCTGGCATTTTCTGGTCGTCATTGGAGTTGCCACTACTAGTAGTAGTACCGTTCTCGGTCGCATTCCCCACAGCGACACTCGAGACTTGTCGCAACGCCGCCAACGGTCCTTGATTGTTGGCGGCGGCTGTGGCTTGTGCTTCTTTGGCCTGTTTCCACAGCACAGTGGCATTTTCATTGGCTTTTTGCCGCCAAGTGGAAAATCGACTCATCAAGATTTGAGCGCCCTTGTTATTATTACTTTCTGCTGGCGTGGCGCTTGTAGTTTTGAATTCTTTTCCAGGAGGCAAGGCAAATGTGCCATCGTCTTCAAACGTAGAACTCTCCAGTGTTCCCTTGTCGTCATTGGCCGGGGGTGGTGTGCTACTATTTTTGGTGCCCTCTTCGTCCTTTTCGTCTTCTTCTCCTGTGGCTTGCTCTTCTTTGGTTTCGGGCTCCTCGGCATCAGTTACTAGAGGAGGCTCACTACTGGTAGTGGCACTTGCTGCTGGAGTGCCATTATCTGGTTCCTCACTCGTCGTGGTCGTCATGGTGTTGGTTTGGTAGACAAGGAGGAGTGTGGTGGAAGGAGTGTCATTGGATTTGGAAGAGCGTTTGACCTTTAACCTTATGGAATGAGATAGGGTTGCAGAAACGATTGCCCGAAACGACGACGCAACCAACGGCATGGCCACCACAAACGATCCGTTGATCTATCCTTCTATCTTTCACGCTGATAGTCGACAATAATAGAAGTCAACCATGGGCCTGTTTGCCACCTTAACTTCCTCAGCGGTCGAGGCTGGCAAAGCTAGATCTAGCAACCAAGTGCCATGTATCGTCCAGCTCTATTCCAAGTCTCCCATTCTGGTTGGATCTTCCGCCAAGAGCCGTAAATTCAGTATCTTGTCATACGAAGCGGCCCACGTTGGTGCCTTGGCCGAAGCTGGAGGTGGTGCTCTGCTGTCATCGAAACAAGAACATGTCGAACCCAACTTGGGGGTCTGGAATTTTCGCGTCACCAAATCACAAAGTGGACAAAAGGGTATCACCGATGATGTCTTTGGGTCGCTGCCCTCGGTCGAGTCTCCTTGCTTTTGCATGAGCGTCGACATGACCGATTTGGCGCAGGTGGAACCCACCATTTCCATGCTACAAGATGCGCTGGTGCGGTATCTGATTTCGCGTGGCAACAAAACCAGTGAAAAACCTGCGGCGGCTACCACCACGCTATTCGATCTTCGCTCCGTCTTTTTTGGTCTCGCCGACAATGACAAGGATTCCGCCAAGAGCGTCCATGCCAATCCCGATGCAGCCGATAAAAATGTCTATGTGTCGCTCGTTATTTCCGTATTGATTCCCTCACGAACCGAAGCCGCGGCGGCATACAAGGAAAAACAGGCCGAAGCCTTGGTCATGTACCATTTGCGAAAATACGCGGCGAGTTTGAATGCGGTCCTTTGCTTTGTGCGTACCGAGGAGCCTGTCGAAGAAGGAAAGGCAATTGATGCTCTCTCGATTCATCAACTCTCGCATGTATGGCACCAATTGGCCAAGGG